AGTCCAAAATGAGCTGATGTCCTTCAACTATATCCCAGGCAACTTGGATTCTTTTGATTTTCTCCTTTCATCAATCTTCTCTACTTCCTCGTCTCCTTGCGACACGCACGTACCGACAAGAAAGGGCCAACCGACACTGGGCCGTACCCATGTGGCCCGTCCAATGATTAAAACTGTGACCTGATCCCAAAGTCGCTGGCGAACAGCACGAGTCCACACTTTGCCGCCTATCTCCCAAAATATAACGCGTTCGCTTAGCATTACTGTCAGCCTTCCCACAAACAAACGCCATTGACATCCCTATATCACGTGTCGGCCAGACTTAGCCAACAAGAGAAAACAGAACCATCGAAGACAGGCGCCAGGCGCTGTGGGAACACGTGCGTGCTTCGGTTCTGCAAATGCGGGTGGGATTTGTGGAGGTTTCAATACGGAGGCTCATCTTCCCGTGCTAGGGAATTTGTCCAAACAAACAGCACCGACAGGACCGCTAGCCTGGAGCTTTTTGCAGTTTCCTCCATGCCCGGGGCACTTTCAATACATCCTTGGAGCGCTTGTCATTGTCTTCTCGGGTATCCTTACGGACCGCACGTGTTCTCCAGAGTTTCCCGAACGAAGAGCTCGTGAACTAGATAGGACCAATCAGCGACCACCCGATGACACTTCAAAACCTTGGTACACGAATGAGATGCACCTCAGCCTTGATAGTCTCCATCTTTCCGCGATATTGCCTCAGCGGGAAGTTCGGATGGACTGCATTGCAGCCTGGGAAATTGTGAGATTCTAGGAAATGAGATCGCACATGACATGTACAGAAAGACACAAAGAAACTATTCACACGGGAGACCGGCTGGTTGCTCGAGTTCTACCGAACCTAGCAGGGACACCAATTTGCAGTGGCTGGGCACATCTGTTTCTTTTAAGCTAGTCTCAATCAGAGCTTGCTCCATCTTCCTGGAATACACAGCAAGAAGATTGATAGTACAGGGTTTTAGGGCATCCTTCGACCTTCTGGAACTTGTGGATCAGCAAGACATTTACCTGGAGCTCTATTGGAGACCCGGTCAGAGATATTCTATGGGATAAGCACCCCATAACATGTCGAAGAGTGTACAGTCACAACCTACTGCGCGCAGCCCTGCCGAAGACTCGGAAATCTGGTCATACAGAACTTGGAGACGCTTGGCCAAGAGAGAACAGGTTTGTCTCGCGATTAGCGGTATCCTTTCTTGGATACCAAATCAAGGATTTTCCTGCATGCCCTGTAGACTTCCTCTACACATTCCTTTGCTTATTCGGCAAGCCACTCTATATCTAGCGCTGCTGTTACAGCCTCGCTTGTTCAAATGGCCTAGTAATAAATTCCACGGACCTACCGGGGGATAATATGATTGTGGAATCGCAGTTATAAAAAGTACGGATGGTTCTTTCCCAATTATGGAAAATTATGTATGTAACATTTCAGTTCGCAGAGAAAGGCAGTCGAACCCTCAGATAATATATTTCGTCCCTCACGGATATCCATGGGAAAGATCAACCCCAAGAGTGTAGCAGACCTTCCTAGAATGCCCCCGAACACCTGTCCTCACCCACAGTAAATATTCTGTTAAGGGTCCATAGCAACTCGTATCAACATGTCGATCTATGGATGCAGAGCTGAAAAAGGAATAGAGATCCAATAACGGAGAAAAACTGTTACAAAATAAAGGAAGTGTAAGAACGAAAAAAATAAAGAAGAAGAAACGGGACCTCCGTTAGGCTTTGTTTGTGGTTCCCGTAGTTGGTCATCCAACCGTTATCTCTATCACGATTCAAATAACCACAAGAACAGGACCTATTCCGCTGAATAAACCATTAAGCTATCAAGGCGACGGAAATCTTAGAGTGTGTGTCAAAAGAAAGGGGCCATTTTGCCACTACTGCCGACCTAAACGGGAGCCAGGTCTAGGACAGGGATCTCGTTGGCATCGTAAGGCTTATCAGCAGCGGTAGGTGCTGTGATTTCGAAGTGGGGGGACACGAATGTGCCAACCGGACGAAGAGGTCGTTCGGTGGGATGAGGGGCCTGACAGTTCTGACTAGCCGCCGAAAGTGGTTTGCTGGCGGTAGTTGGTCTATCCAGCCTTTGCTATGTGGACTGAATGGATTCGGGTAAAAGCCACCGTCCTCAGAAATGCTGTTGTGCTCGAAGACTCCGTAACTCACTCGTTGAAGTCTTTTGTGTTCATCCAATAGTGAACCGGGGGACAGCGACCAACGAGAGGTGCGAAAGATTGGTGGTGGCGCTTGATTCTTCAACACCAACGAGACGGGCGCAATAGTTATTGACGAAGGCTTGTAGCAAGAGGAAAGCACCTGTAGTGAGCGCTTGGTGCATTCAATATTGCGGGTATGGTATTGTGGGCGTGGGTCGACTACGGGTAGGGAACCATACTAGGCGAGAAAGGGAAGACCGAGGTGGTAGCACCCACCTTCAGCACTCATGTTACAGTAGGTAGCTATACTCGTGGAGCTTAGAGTCTCAATGCAGGACCGTGATACTCAATTATGAAGCAAGAACCAACATCAGGAGGCACATAATTATTCATCAAAGTGGCCCGGGTCCGGTCTTTCGGCGTGTAACGTAAGTCGAATGTCGATTGAAGCGTGCCGACAATCTATCCTCGCAGAGAGGAGGATACGGAATCGGGATGCTAGAAGGACGAGAAAGCCGGATACTCAAGGTGCTAGTTGTAATTGGAACATATATAACTGGCGAGAAAATGTGGAACCTAGAGATCAAGGCATAAGATGGAACTTGGGAGTTACCTATGTATGGATAGTCAAGCATAGAGAGGAGGGAAAAAAGAAACGGAAACCCCCTTTAGGTTTGCGCAATCCTGGGGTCGAACCAGGTAAGGTGCAAGCCCCACGCGACCTCCCTATCACGACTCGGTCCGCTACATTCTCCATGGCTTATTCCAAGAATTAAACCATTGAGCTATAAGGGGTCCTTCCATGGAAGGCCTTATGTTTCGGTCAAATTTAAGGGACCTATTCTTGCCCTATGGGAAGGTGCCACCCACCCTTTTGCTATCTGAATTTTACCCGCCAGCTACTCTCCCTACATCTAGGGAGATATTGACCTTGGAAGTCCTACCTGTCGTAGGTCGCACATTCCTCCAATTTGGCTACATGGTGGTTCGGCTTCACAACTTACAATCATTATCTCCTCGCTTTCTTTAATTTTTCTTCACTGTGCCCTTACAGCACGGCCCCGTCAGACTCATCACACGCCCAGACATTTATGATGCTTTGAAACAAGCTCCGTTATGACCTGGGGAGCTGCCGTTGAACCCTGTTGGGACCCACTGATACCCACGTGAAATCCATGGAACGGGATTATCAGCCCCACATCCTGGTGTGCCTTAGCTCGACGACATTCGCTCAACTCTACACTTCCCAACGGACATTCCAGATCCAAGATACAAGCAATAAGAGCTATTAACAGCCCAAAAAACACAACAGTCCAACCCTCGGTCTTCTAATTAGCTGCATCTGAGAGACGATCATTACAAGGTGTTCCGGATACCAGGGCGGCCAAAGAGAGGCTAACAGCCTGCAACAGGAGTCTGCTCATCGCGCAGAGTCATCTTGCGCACTGATCCAATTAGGCCGAGTATAATTCATGCGGTCTATTCGATACCCGTGCTCTACTGCCAGTCTATCTTCTTATCCTGCGGTCGCCAGCGTCTCGGCCGCATTTTCAGTGCTCCTAATTCATCTTCGAGACCACGAAGGCCGCTCTACTTGAAGGCTGGCCCCAAAAGCAGAAGGCCGAGAGTAGATGGATTATGGACGCTCTTTAACGAACTGCTTCTGGTCCGCTGTCTTGCAAACTCGGGACGGATATTCATTGAGTTCACACTAAAAGAGTTGGCCGCTCATGAGGCGTGTATCCTTGGGGACCTAAGAGTTTGATGCTCCGATTTTATTTGGCCCAAAATGATATTAGGGATGTTATAGGTAAGATTACATATGTATTCGATGTATTTTTGAATGCTACTTTCGGATGTCTTCTCTCCATTCTAATATACAGTGTATATGCGTTGCCGACCGATATCAAACATAGTGGCCAGAAGGCCCAATGCCGGATTACCTTGAGGTCGACCACTAGGTTCGAGGTTAAGAATAATGATTAATTCCCCTTTAATTAAATTATAGGTAACTTAACTTTTAACAAAAGCTTAGGGCACCTTGGTTTCTTATGTCGTAGTCGCAAAATCCGTATACCTAAGCCGAGAACGCTCATTCTTTTCGCCTTAGGCTTACAGACGTAGGCCTAATATAAATCAAACAGGGAGACTTGAACCTTGAAGGTATTCTACTCTACTATCGGCTGCTTTCTTTATTGTAAGTGATCTATCAACTGAATGTGACACGAAGAGAATATATTCTTCGCTATTATGCATTTATCAGTACTGGAGAAGGTAGCATCTGGGGGACTGATCCAATTAGAATCATGCTGGTCCAAAAATTTTCCGTATCCCAAGCAAGGCTCATTAAAGGTTCTAGGGAGCCTCGCTGATGACTGCTATTTTATTCATTCTCTATGGAAGTCTTGTTTTTCATCTGAATTCCCTTAGTAAACCTGTGAAGGCTGGCTACATCTGCGATCCCTTTATACTGATCTTTAATGCCATTCTATCCATGCGGTTTGGAGCATTGAGATGCTCAAAAAATAATTATTTTCTTACGAGTGCATTGAGTTTTGGATTCGGTATCAGTTAAATCCGTATTAGAACAGCTGCATCTAAGCATAATATGCAAGAGAAAGTCGCGCAATCAATCAGAAGCTAGGGGTAGAATTTTGCAAGAATAATAAAGAAGAAATCGCCCACAAATTTTAGAGCAAACCGAGAACTATATGGCTGGTACCTGTCATTCGAAAACCACAATAACACGCACTGCAAAATTTAGGATCATGACAGCACATTAATCTTCAACTGTAATCAACCTTTCTAAGCACCACCGGCCGCTGCTTCCATGAACAATTTTTCGCGCTGGAAATTGTTAGCGGTTGTCCCGAAAAGAGGCTTTGGTAGAAACAAGAGACTCACCTTGAGGAAGACAGACAGAAGAACACCCAGTGCACCGGCAACGATCAAAAGAATATAGCTAAGGATAAATGTCAGCAAATTCAAGGTTTTTGAACGATAGTTGACCAAGAATGAATTAAGACCTACACATCATCGATAGCCCGAACGATGATATCAAGGGCTGCCGTCTGCTGGGCCTTTGTCAGGGTATTGAAGAATCCGCTAGTTGTTCCCGTGATGGTGTTCTTGACATCGGTAGGGTTGGCATCCGGGAGCAACTGCAGAAGCTCATTTGTTGCCTTGTTAACAAATATAGCACCTGCCATGCCCAAGGCCAAAACAATGCCTCCCAGTTGGGCTATTGTTCCAGGTTAGCTTAATGGCGGATATAAAATACAACAAGCTCAACAATATCACTTACAAACCATCATGAAGCCGAGGGCCCATGGAATCTCAGTCTTCTTCACCTTGGCCTGGACCACACTGTAGCCTGCCTGGTTGAAGGCACCAACACCCAAGGCCATGAGAGACGTGTATCCATAGATTGCACTAGCGGAAGTATCCGCCTTGACGAGATCTAAATATGCAGCCCCAGTTAGCTTATACGTCTAATTTTAAAATCTGGAAGACCTACACATCAAGGCGGCGGCGACAAGCTCACAAGCTGAGCCAAAAAGGTACCACGGGAGGTAGTAACCAAATCTGGACATCATATGGCCGTTGGCAATAATGATGAAAATCAGAACCATCACGAAAGGCAAAAGACGTAACGATGCGTCGACGGCGGTATCACCCTAATATACAATTAACATCCATGTTTCCAATATCCAGGTGAAAGTATCGATTCTTACCTGAGTAAACTGGAAATATAATGGGATGTAGTAAACTGAGATAAACAGTCCACTGCTGGCACACGCTAACAGAATAGGGTCAATCAGCGGCAAATAAAAGAGGCATACTGTGGTAGTTTTAACTCACTGTTGAGAATGAATAGCAGCAGCAAAGAGCGTCTCTTAAGAAAGTGGATTGGGAAGAGTCTGTTCTCTTCATTGCAGAGGATGTAGAAAGTCTGCTGTACCCCGAATAGTATGAAGAGCACACCAGATACCACAAAGAGCGCAATTGACTGGCCGCTGCCCCACGACCATTCTACCCCTCCAAAGTCAATGCCCATAATTAAAGTTGCTAGGGCACCAATGAAAAGGATGATGCCGACCCAGTCGATGTTCTTTGCCTTCTCCTTGGAGGTGGCATTCGGAAGGGGCTCGAATGAAGGGAGGAGGAAGACATATACTGGAGAAAATGCTGCACCTATGACAAGGTTGATGTAAAAAGCCTTATGGTTGTTAATCAGACGTAGCTGGATAGTTAAGATTTTTGGAAACATACCCAACGCCAAGTGGCAGAGCTCTCGGCAAATGCTCCACCAATAGCCGGACCAGTGACCGTTCCAATACCCCATGAGACGGCGCTATAGAGTCATTATCAGCATAAGAATAGATTTTGCATTCTGGGTTGACTTACGTCAATCCGATGTAAAATGGACGCTCGGATACGGTCGTATTGACGGACAGTTGCGTCAAGACTCCAAAATACATACCACTTCCCTGGAATATTGTTAGTGACTGAGATCGTAGTACCTTTGTACCCAAGATTGCATTGACTTACTCCAGCGCCAGCTATGGCTCTACCAACGATCATAGCATTCATATTCGGAGCAGCTCCACACAAAGCGGAACCTCCCATGAATAGGATGACGCACTAGTCGATAATGATCAGACATGCTCCCTATCGCATGACCTTTTGATAGACATGATTAACTTACCCCGATGTACAGCCATTTGGCATTATAAGTTGCGTAGGCCTTAGACCAAGGAAGGCACAAAGCAGATGAGCAGAGAGTGAATCTAGCCAGAAAAATTGCCGGGTCAGGAAGATCGCCGATGTAAAAGGAGGTTGAGACTTACCCAACGGAGAGCCACGAAATTTGATCAGCCTGGTCGAACTGCAAAAGAATAGCCTTTTGAAAATCAAAATGGGTTAGTTGTGCTAATCCTTGCTTGTTATCATCGGGTGCGAAAACCAACCGGTTGGATGTTAGCCACAATGGTGTTGTCGAGGGCAAAAAGCATATGGCTAGACAATATAGCGGTCACAACCAGAATCCACTATAGTTCAAAAACTTAGCAGTGTTTGTGACAAGCCAGACCGATCCAACGAACCTTGAACCCGGTGATGGTTCTCTCTCCCTCCTTCTCCACCTCCTCAGAGGAGCTGTCATGCTTCTCACTGAGCTGCGAGATTGAGCTAGGGGTGTGGGAATCCGCAAGAGCAGACGGGAGCTCGGATTCGCCTTTCAGAAGTTCAGCCATTGCAACTGATCAGGCACTATTATCCAGATCTATTGAGGCTGCTCTGCAAAGAAATGGATTGCGAGTGATTTGATGGGTCCGCTCTTTGAATTTTTTGGGCACGGTTCGAATTTTATAAGAGCAGCTTGGAGCTATTAAAAAATGATCTACGCACTGAAACCATGACCACTAGTATTGCTAACACACTATGGGATGAAACTGGACCCTGGAATTTACAATCTGGGATTGCGATGGGATACCGAATGAACCCGACGCGACGGGATCCCGCTGGGATAGCGACGGGCCAGACTCTAATTAGTTCTTTACGAAACTCAATACGAAGCCACAATGGGATGCCCGTGGGATACTGCCGGACCGTCGTACCTGAATCCCACACGCCATCCCAGCAGGGGTGCTATCCCAGTGTGGAAAATGGTCCTTTTTGCTTCCATCGCCATCTTACTCTTAGCGACAACGACGGCTTAGCCCACGGATCAGTTACGTAGCATTCAGGCTATTGCAAGCGAAGCTAGAGGGACGCCGTGATGTGAGAGTGAGAATAAATATATCATTTACACTGATCCCTCTTTAGTATTTGTCTACCCCACCATAACTATCCATTTGTATTCCAACCGCCTACACTCTCATTGAGAATATACATCCGCCGTTGAAGAAAAACGCCTATCACGTTATGACCATCCACCGCATTACCTTGTTCAACATCCCTAAACCGGAAAATATTGACATCCTCTTGGCTGAATATCGTCAACTAGCTCATGAAGCAACCAGGGTATGTCTCGACCGCCTATCCACATTGACAAGGTGTATGCTGTCATTTTCTCTGACTGACAATGACAATCGCTATATTCGTGATTGAAATACAGAATTTAGAGCCTTATATTCTCTCCGTTCAAGCTGGTCGCACTTTGCCCGATGCACGAACCAAGGGCTATACGCTAGCTGTGAAGACAACCTTCCGCAATCTGGATGACATGAACTTTTACGATTCGGCCTGTGAGGCACACAAGCGTCTGAAGTCGGTGGCAGCATCTCTTAGAGAGGGTGATGTCTTCACTGCCTATTTCGAAGATGAGGTGGCATTGGCTTAAGTGTCTAGTTTTAAGCTTCGAGGAAATATTATCGAGATGCCGACACCTTGCATGACTTGCTTCAAGATTGTAGAGACTGAGTTAGCATAAAAGAGTGACGTCGGGTAGTAGCTTTGATTATTGTCAACGTCAGAAGTCTCGACATCTGGCCAGAGTATCATGTCTTGTAATTTATATACCGGCTCAAGTCAACTAGACTTTTAGTGTTAACTAGGTGCTATGTTATCCTTTGCACCGTTATTTCAACTTGACATGCATATATTTGTACAGGAAAAGAGAGAGAGATACACTGCGTGGAGATTATTCTGAAAAGTGTCATATCCAATGAAATTTTGCATCACAAGGCTGCAAAAGCGGCGCAGTTTGAGAAATCCAGTTCTCTTCAATGTTCTCATTGCTATACGCGGCTGGGTTTTCCGCGAGTCGCGCAGCCAAGTCCGAAGTGGCATGCCAGAGCTCACCTTTATCTGGCAATGCAAATTGCAAATCTGTCAGAGACAGAAGACTTTTCCCAGGGCTGAAACTGGGCGCGTCTTCTAGACGCTTGGGGTCGTGTACTCGCGACTGCCGGCACACTCTGTACAACGATAAACAAAATCGTTTGACCTCTTCGATACCGAGCCATATAAATACGTCGGGATCAACTCCAGGCTTGAATTGAGTTAATATCGAGGGATAGAAGAACATTTTCCGCTTTAGACAGGTGCGCACAAGAGCGACGAGAAGCTGAGAGGGTATTTCAGGCAGAGCGTGCCTTAATTGCAGATCTAAATGGTCATGATAGAGAAGAAGAGAAAAAATGAGATGCAACAATATTCCTTGATATGTTGCCATTGGCCAGGGACTGGGCTTGGACGAGGGCGTTTCATCTTGTTGCAATTGTGACTCGGTATAGTGATTTGACATATCCCATTTCTCCTATCGCACTCTATATTAATATGAGAAAAACAGAGGAAAGGTAATGGTAAGAATATATAACTGACTCTTTGTTCATAGATTGAAGAGGTGAGTTTGTGATGCAGGTCTTTTGCAGTCTGTTGCGCATTGCTTTCCCCGGTCGCCCAAAGTCCCATCATAATCACTGATTGCAGAAGAAAAGCTGGCTCATGATCAGGATCGAATGTAGCAGGGTGTAAAAAAGGCCATTTTGGGTGGAAATTCTTGAAATAAGCCTCGACGTATGGTACGTATGGTACAATTCTACTTGGGTATTTTTCAATCGTTTCCGCACGCTGAACAGAACTTGATTCTGCCGCAGGAGAGTAGGGATAACCAGGCTCTACAGATGCTACTGAGCTCATGTGGCCATCAGGACTCTTTGTTTGTTTCAATTCACGTCGTGAATTTTGGGTGTAGGAGCATTGAATTCCTCGCTGGAAACAGGTATCACAGGGTGTCTGTCCGTTGCATCTTGACCTTCGCGAGCGACAGTAGTTGCAGGCTTGGACTGCCCGGGATGATTGTAACTCCTTATTTCTATGGAGTGTACGGACATGCTGACGCAGCGTGTCATTCCTAGCAAAAGCGCGATCACAAAAAGGGCATTCATAAGACTGTGATTGGAAGTGGCTTTTGGCATGTCGTGTAAGATGTTCCTTGCGTCGATAGCCAAGGCCACACCCGGGAAAATGGCATTGGAACGAGGGTTGCTGCGGAGTCATCGGAACTAATTTAGGCGATGGAGACGACAGAGCGTGAGGGAATGAGGTGAACAGGATGGGCCGGGAAGATCTTCCTGCCCAAACGTCCGAAAATCGATAATGGGGTTGTCTAAGAAGTGAGAACTAGCAGCCGCGCTGCAGGTATAAGCGACTGGAATGGGATGGCGACACGAGGTGGGACCCCCGACGGGAGGCCGGGATACTGATGGGAGGATGGGAGGATGGGAGGATGGGATACCGATGGGAGTAGCCCTGTATGGGATGGGAGGGATGATGGGAGGATGGGAGGATGGGATGACGATGGGATAGCGGGGCAAACCTTTGCACGTCAGGCTTGGCAAGGTACAACATACAAGGGACGATCAGGAACGGCCCGACTGAAGAAAAAAAGCACAATTCGACTTCTTGGTCCCTGGATCACGTGGCTCTCCCATTCCTTCCCATCCAGAATCATTCAGTAATTTCATCTCCAATTTACATAGTCTGTGATTTTATTATTTTGGGTTTTGTATCCTTTCAAGGTTCTAGGCTATCTTTTCTTCTCATTCATTATAAGCATACATCATCATTCCACACAAGAGCAGCCACATGCTGAAATTTCCTTCAATCACTTGTTCTGAGCCCTTCAACTGCTCTTGGCATCATCGCTGCTTCTCGGCATAGAGAGCTTTCTGACTCGCTCTGTGTGCCGCATGGCCAACCCCACCCGCCTCTTCACTTCGTGTTCCTAGTGCTTTCCCGAGGTGAACAGTTTTTTCCGAAAACAGGTAGTGGATACGCCAAGATTTTGAGCTTATGCTGCAATCCGCAAGATGTTTTTCACAACCCAAAATTTTCAGACTATCAGGGCACGTTTCACCTGCATGCGGGGGCGAGCGAGTGCCGAGATTGCCCGGGGAAGTGATGCGGCATCCGCAAGTCCGCCGCCTGCTTCCTGCCAGGACATTATCATATTCTTCCTTTCTGATGACATGAAAAAGGGTTGTCATACCTAGGTAAATTCTGGCAATAAGATGCGTAACGATTTGTGACAATCTATCTTGGGAGACTGAAGCGAGAAAGTATCGAGTTACGATCCATGTTCACCACGACGAAAGGATTTCCTCTTTTTGGACAAATTTCGAACCCAAGTGTCTAGAATTTAGCAACCTGGCTCTCGTTATTATTGCTTTATGTCACTAATTTTCTTTCTTTTTACTATTTCTAGGAATTCCTAACGAGCGAGATAAACCATTTTGATTCGTCTACCGGAAGTATATTGCCACTAGCCACTAGCTCTGGTTTTAGGTACATGCTGTATTTCTCGTTTTGTTTACTCCCCGCGATCCTTCTGACCAGTCAGGTTGGTCAGCGAATCCATAAGACCAGGGATCTCTGGGTCATCATCAATGCGGCTGATGTTGGCGACACGACCGAAGATGGTGTACAGACCCACAATGACAATGACCTCGAAGATCTCACGGGTGCTGAAGTTGGCTTTGAGCTCCTCCAGGGTCGCATCGCTAGCGTTGTTATTGCGGACTAGCTCCTCCACAAAGCGGAGCAGGATGCGGTCGCGCACGGTGAAGAACTCAGTGTCATCAACCTTGCCGAAAGCAATGAGAAGGCGCTTGGCGTTGGGCATGCCGTTGACCAGCGCCACAGGGGTGTTGATCTCGAAGACATAGTGGGCACCAATCAGCGCCGCGGTGCGCAGAACGACCAGCTGCCACTCGAGAGTGGGGAGCTCCCGAGTGGAGCGGAATACGGTGCCCAGAAGGCTGGAGATGGGGGGGAAGAATCCCTCGGCGTGCGCCAGAAGCTTGAGCACATTGCGCTCGAAGGGAAGGACCTTGAAGGCCTCTGCCAACTCTGGGTTGACTTTGCTGGGGTCAACGTACGGGAACACAGCCCGCTGGTTGGGATAGGCGGTTGTGGGAAGGGCGGAGTAAGATTCAAAGATGGAAGACATTGTTCTTGAGACGATTCAATGGATCAAGCAAAGACAAGTGAAGAGAAAGCGTTGCAGAGAATCTTGGAAGGTGTTTGGAGATTCTGATGTTGGTGTTGGAAAAAAAAACCAAATACTCTCAGGAGTTATGAGAGGTTATATACATTACTCCACCTGACGAGATCGGCCTTGAAGATGTTATTCTTGACCTCATTAGTCTTACTATTCGCATAACTCTTCTACCGTATTAGAAATCAAAAGAGAATCCTTCGCAGAATATCCCGCTTTCTAGAATTGCGAGTGTCAGACAAATTGTGGTAACATGCAGGTGTTGTCGGAACTAGCGTGAAGGATCTAAGATTATCCCAATATGGTCAGTGCCTGCATGAGATTAATTCCGTTAGATTAAGTCACATAGCGGGGAGACGACAAATAAGAATGTCGGAAAAAGTGAGCTAATGCCGCCTAATTACTACGAACAGTTGATTCGAACTTTATTCTCCACGATCCTGCAGATCGTATACTTGGTCCACGCCTGCGTTGCATTCAATGCTCGGCTTGAAATACCTATAGAACGTGTTTACATGAAGAAACTCATCATCATGTTTAAGCCGAGGCCGAGATTTGTCATAGATCGCGGGATATTTAGGAGAATTGGTCTAATTCTCGTGTTCTGGATGGACATTGACCAAATTGAGCCCAACGGGGTTCCGGTCATCATATTGCGCAATCGGAGTCGCCGTCGCCCCCAAAGAGACGGCGAAGAAGAGTTGGGCGTCTAGCAAATGGAATTTTGCTCACGTCCAGAACAAAAACGGCGTATGGTGAAACTCCGAGGGTGATGAATGTTCATAGCCAGCACGAAAGATATAAAGATCAAGCAATAACCTCTCACAAGAACAAAAAAAAAAGAACCAACACACTTCAGGGAAAGTCTTTGGGCTCCTGTTTCTCTTTGATACCCCTTCTGGCTTGTTACAGTATATCCCTTATAGATAGACAAGTCATTCACATAAGGCGCCATGGCTTTACAACAGCAATTAGTCCCGGGGTTCTATTCACCCCCGGGGATTGTGTCAGAAAAGTTTCAACAAGTCTTTCCTCGAGTGGATGCACGACCAGTCCCAACGAGGCGTCCCAAGACTCCGGATGCTGAGGTTGAGCTGTTTGACCTGACACCAATTCAGCAAGAGATTATCTCGGCCCTCGGTTTTCAAGCAGCGTGGACCTCGTTTACATTCGAGATTCCCGATCAAATGGTCCTCAGCATTGATCGTCTCCGAATGACTTGGCAGGCTGTTGCGGCACATCATCCATTGCTTCGAACTGTCATTGTTCCCAGTGAGGATGGCACTGGGCCCTACCGACAGCGAGTAGTGTACCAAGTTCTACCTATGGTACTCGGTGCTTGGGAGCCAATTTCCACCAGTGTGCCCTACTTGGTCTATGATGAAGCGAGCGTGAACCGCCCGACATTTTCGCTTCATTATCATCGTGCTCTGATTGATGCAAAATCTCTCCTTCTCATCTGGAACGATTTCGAACTCTTTTTTCATGGCTTTCCCTTTCCATCACGCATTCCCTTTAGCACGTATGCTAAAGCCATTGCCATTCGAGACAGTCAGAAGGCCTCCACATTCTGGAATGGTTATCTCCAGGGATATTCTGGGAACCGCTTGTCTGAACGCCCCATTACTGGACAGAAAAACGTTGAAACGAGTGTGTGCGGCGATGTCAGCCTTCTCTCTCGAGCAAAGGAGTTCGCACACGAGTATCAAGTCAGCGTCAAAGCGGTGCTCCTTGCCGGCTGGGCTGTCACCTTTTCCCGCCATCTGCAGAGCGATGATGTGGCCTTTTATACCAACCTTCGGGATTGCAGCTTTGACGCAGAATATATCGTTGGTCCAATGGATGTGACCGCTCCTCTTCGAATTCAACTTTTGGACAACGAGTCCACACTCGAGGCTCTCTATAGATTGGAAAGCGAAAAGAGAACTGTTTCTCAATATTCCTATGTGGGAGGAAGCGCCATCAGGGAGTACAGCCAAAGCCAAGCCTCCCTGACGTCCATGTTCACTGTTCGTGAATCAGAGATCCCCATGCACAAAGTTGAGGTCCTCGACGTTACCACAGAGACAACACTCAACTTTGCAACTGGGCAACTCTCCCTGGTCCATGACCCGAGTTACTCATCGGCCCGAGCCAAGATCATTTTACAGCACTTCTGGGAAGTCCTCCAGCAGATCATCACGGGCCCATACGACCGGTTCAAGAGTTTGAGTCTCACGTCCGAGCAAGAGAAAAGCTCCCTGTTGAGCTTTAGGTCTTTGCGTGGAAATGTCTCCCCTCAGATGGTGCATAACCTGATTGAGAAACAGGCTCGTGACAATGGAGATGCTCCAGCTCTACAGTTTGAACTTAGCGAATTCATGAACTTTGTTCAGCTGAATGCTGCTGCAAACCGTGTCGCTCATCGTCTCACTGGGTTGATGTCGACAGGGGCCATCATTCCGGTTCATATGGATGTATCCGTCCAGTTTGTGGTTGTTCTCCTGGCTATTCTGAAGGCGGGAGGTGCCTATGTGATTCTTGATCCCTTCCAGCCACCATCTCGCAAAGCATACATTCTCAACGATGTCAAGGCACCATTCTACATGACAAATGGGGCCCCTATCGAAGGGATTACAGATGTGTCGGCTTACTCAATTACGGATCTCATGCAGGGTTCCACTCCCGATGCGGAAATCGATTTGGGCTTATCTCTGGACCCTGAGCAGCCTGCATATATTATTTATACCTCGGGGTCTACCGGTGTTCCTAAGGGCGTGGTATTGAGTCACCGCGCGGCTTCCACTGGAATTCTCTGTGCTCCAGATATACCCAACGACCGCAGCCTGCTTTTCTACAACCCCATCTTCTCAGCAGCCCAGAGAACCATTCTGTCTACTCTGGCCAAGGGTGGCTGTCTCTGCCTGGCAAGTCGATCAACCCTTCAAGGGTCTCTGATGCGCTTCATCAATGATATGAAGGTCAACACTCTTGGCATTACGTCCTCAACCATTGCGCTGTTAGAACCCGAGAAGATACCCACGCTGCAGAGAATCAACCTCACGGGTGAATCACTAGACCCTTCCGTTGTTGCGCGCTGGGCCAGTCATATCGAGCTGAAGAACAACTACGGTCTCAGTGAATGCACACAGCTCACCTGGGGAAGACGCATGTTTTCGGGAGAAAAGCTGTCGAGTCAAAATGTTGGACAGCCACTGGACACCACATCTGCCTATATTCTGGACCCCGATACATCGAACCTAACACCATTTCTGGTTCCAGGAGAGCTGTGTCTTGAAGGTCCCCAGATTGCGAGCGGCTATCTGAATCGCAAAGAACAAACGGAGAAGGCGTTTGTTGATAGCCCTTTCACTCCGGGATGCAAGCTCTATCGGACTGGCGACATGGCAGTTCGACTGGAAGATGGCACAGTTGAAATTGTCGGCCGGATTGACTTCCAAACCAAGATCAACGGTCAGCGAGTAGAGCCTGGTGAGATCTCGGCTCTTCTTCGTCAGCAAAGCTCGGTTCGTGCAGCAGTGGTAGTGGCTGCCACTGTTGAGCAAGAAAAGGCTCTCGTTGCTTGCATCTCGCCGAGTGATACATCACTATCCTGGCCTCAAGTTGTCTCCAGCCTCCGAACAGCAACATTGGCTAGTCTCCCGTCCTATATGACGCCTGCGTACTGGATGCCATTCGACGACCTACCGGTCAATAGCAATGGAAAGACGGATGTGCTGCAACTTAGGAACAAAATCCAAGCAATGAAGCGTTCCGATCTTATTGGTGCCTCGCTGGATATAGAGGAAGTTCAACGAGAACTCTCTGACGTGGAAAAAGTGCTCCAGCTGGCCTGGGCTAAGGTCCTTTCTCTTCCATCTGAGGTTATCACAATCAATCAGTCGTTCCTGGCGCTGGGAGGTGACTCACTCAAGGCCTTGCTTGTCATTTCGGAATTATTGTCCCACAACTATGTCGCAGAGCTTGGCGATATCCTTCGCGCAGACTCCTTGGCTACAGCAGCGTCTTCCTTGACATATCAAGAAAATGCATCCACAAACCAGGATTCACCGACACCTTTCAGCTTGATACCGGACGAAACGGACGTGGATCGGACAACATTTGAGGACGCATACCCTGCTACACCTTTCCAAGAAGGTATCATCTCGGCGCATAAGAGTGCAGGGGGATATGTGTATCATCGCATGTTTAACATCAAAGGGTACGACGCGTCTCGACTTCAGCAAGCGTTTCAGATGGTGATTAACAATAATGCCATCTATCGAACTGGGTTCGTGCCGCATGGCACGGGGTTCTTGCAGATGGTCCATCGAAAGTTTGAGCTACCTTGGGACATTGTCAATGATACATCCTCCATCGATTCCTATGTATCACAGGTTCGGAAGCAAGATATGGACATCGCCGAACCTCTTGTTCGCGCAGCCATCCTGAATGGTCACATCCTCGTAATCATCATGCACCACGTGTTGTTTGATTTCTGGTCATCCAAATTTCTCGTCCAAGATGCTGCAGCCATCTATAACAATCAGACTGTGGCTTCTCGGTTGTCATTTAACATGTTCGTGCGGCACTATCAGCAGCGAGTGGATGAGAAGGCGGCCTCAGAGTTCTGGTCTGATTACTTCCAAAATACTTCTGCTACACGTTTGACTACGGAGGCCATGCCATTCAATACCGTTAGCCGGATGTTTCGTCAGAGCCTCCGGGAATTTTCGGCATCTGCAGGGGTCACCCCGGGTGCTCTCATGTACGCTGTATGGTCAATCATACTGTGGAAGCATACCGGGAATTCCAATGTCACCTTTGCTGTGACCCTGTCAGGACGTGATGCTCCGATTGTTGGAGCTCAGGATCTGAATGGCCCGACGATGACGACTGTGCCTGTCCGAATCCAACTGAAACCTACAATGAGCCTCATGGAAGTCGTTGCATTAGTGCAAAACGAGCTCTGGAATGTTGCCCGCTTCTCTCAGTTCGGGCTCCGGAGAGCATTGAAAGCATCTGGCCAGGACCCTAGTCTATTTGATTCAATGGTCAACTTCCTTGTCAAGTCAGATACCAGTCAAGATGCAACTGCCTTAAAACCATACGGGGAAAGACCCATCTGGAATACTGGTTTCAACTCGCTAGAGATTGAAGAGATGGCAGGTGGAGAGTTTGAACTTCGTTTTTCTGGATATTTGGAACCCATCCGGACCAAGTTTATCATGGAAGAAGTTGCACTATTGCTCGAAACCATGGTCAGCAACGGCGAAAAGCCGCTAAAAGATGTGGACATTATCCCCACCTCGGAGGCCCTATTCCTCCAGCAGATGTCTACATTGCCTACTACCACGGACGCAAAGTTTCTCCACGAGCGCTTTGAAGTAATCGCCTCGGAGGCGGGGGATCGTGTGGCCATCGAGTTCGAAAAGACCGACCCCGTCAGCTACCGGGAGTTGAACAGTCGGGCTAACCAGTGGGCGAGGTATCTAGCCCAGGAGGGCATTGGGGCGGACTCGTTGGTTCCAGTCTGTTTGCCCAAATCTGTTGAGATGATCACTATCATTCTGGCGATCCTCAAGGCAGGAGGAGGCTTCGTCCCACTGGATCCTGACAACCCTCCCGAGCGAAACAACTTCATTGTGAAAGACGTGTCTGCCACCATCGTCCTGACAGAAGAAAGCCTGCGTGAAATCTTTGATGAATCTGACTCCGGGGTGAAGGTTGTTGATATTTACAACACTAATGTCTTGGACTTTGCTGATAGCAATTTGGACACGGCCTATCTGGAGCCTCACCACCTGGCATACGCCATCTACACGTCCGGCTCGACGGGGCTTCCGAAAGGTGTACTGGTGCCTCACAAATCCATCGCCGCTGGCATCGAAAGTATCTCGACGGCAGAGAGTTGGCAGCCTGAGTGGCGCGTCCTGCAATTCTCCAACTATGTATTCGATGTGTCTGTCGGCGATATCTTTTGCACACTCAGCGCAGGCGCTACCCTCTGCATGGCTTCCATGGAATCTCTCCTCTCCGACATGGCACAGGTTATCAACTCGATGGGAGTGAACCGACTCTTCCTGACACCCACTGTCGCCAGGTTGGTTCACCCGACTGAGGTGCCAGGTGTGGAGGGAATATATTTGGCTGGAGAGCCGGTGACCCCCGATCTTGTGGAAACTTGGACTCCACACTGCGTGGTCATGAACTGCTATGGGCCAACTGAGGCATCCATTCTAGCAGCAGCTGGCTACATTGAACACGGTGGAAATGCTCGAGTCATCGGACATCCGCTTCAAAACTGCGCCGCCATGATCCTGGAGCTCGACAGCCTGAAGCTCGCGCCATACGGAGCTGTTGGAGAGCTCTGCCTCAGTGGTCCCCAATTGGCACGTGGTTATCTCAATCGACCCGAAGCGACCGAACAGGCCTTTGTCATGCGCGGGGCTGACCGTATTTACCGGACAGGAGATCTTTCCCGATGGCTCAGGAACAAGCGCATCGAATGCTTCGGGAGAAAAGATAGTCAAGTCAAGATCAATGGGCATCGGATTGAGTTGGGCGAAATTGAGAGCGCCATCCTCAAGACAAACGAAGTCCAACACGCGATTGTGAGCGTGGTGGAGATTCAAAAGAAGATGCAGCTGGCAGCCTTCTGCGTGGTCGATTCTGAGAATCCCAATGGTATCCTACCTGCAGAAGAATGCCTTGAGACCTTGACAACTGTGAGCATCAGTTTGACCTCCCTGCCGCCATACATGGTTCCAACAATCTGGATCCCCGTTGGAACACTGCCTCTGCTTCCTTCCGGAAAGACGAACCGGAAAAAGCTCCTGGAGTGGGTCAACAGCATGGACAGCAATGAGCTACAACAGTATTCCAGTGCGGGCGCCCAGGCCGAGTTTGTCGCACCGGTCACCGCCGAGGAGATCCTTCTGCAGGGCCTCTGGGCAGGTCTCTTCCACAAAGATCCCAGCGATATTAGCGCAACCAGCCCCTTCTTTGCTCATGGTGGGGACTCCATCTCAGCAATGAACCTGGTCAGCAAGTGCAAGGGTGCAGGGTATGTCCTCGCGGTCAGCGATGTGCTTGCCTTTCCACTCCTTCATGAGATGGCTCGTCGCATGAGGCCTGTCAAGAAGGGTTCTACCAAGGTGGAAAGAGTCTCTTTCGTGGCGTCAAATGAGACTTACGCGACTCTTGCTGGGGCGGGAGTCCACCAGGCGGATATCGAGACCATCTACCAGGCTCCCCCCGGAGTTGAGGATTTCCTCGTCCGTGGCGCCAAGGCTGAGCAGTTCTGGCAATGCCAAACTGTGCGGCCTTTGCCGGACGCGATCGATTTCGAGCGCTGGATCGAGACCACCACTGAACTTACGGCAAGAAACGAGATTCTACGCTCCATGTGGTTGGAGGTGGATGGCACCTGGCTCCAAGTTGTGTTGTCTAAGCCGGTTCTGGATCTGCAGGTCATTCCTTGTGAGTCTGAAGATGACAAACAGGAGAAGATCAACCAGACCTGGGACGGGGCGTTTGAGATCGGGATGCCTTTCATCCGTTACCGTCTCTTTGTTCTACCGAATGGAGAGCGCGAACTGCTGCTCAAGATACACCACGCTATGTATGACGGGACCCTGCTTCGCATCTTCGACGACGAATTCAAGGCTCTTTACAAGAAGCAGCCGGTTCCGGAGACAGTGTCCTTCCGTGACTATGTGGACTATATGGCGTCAACTGACTCTGAGAAGTCCCTAGTCTTCTGGAAGGACCTGTTGCAGGATAATTTGCCACCGTTCCCTGAAGCCAAGCATCCCATCGCTTCGGTACTGAAGATCACCAGCACAGACCGCAAGGTCGATTCCTTCGCGGCACACTGTGGTATTACCGTTCCCATCGTCTTCCAGACAGCCTTCAGTCTTCTTCTCTGCCGCCTCAGTGGTCGCACTGACGTCACCTACGACAACTTGATTACGGGCCGCAATGTCGACATGGAGGAAGCCCAGACCATTGCGGGCACTTGTGCCAACTTCCTCCCTTGCCGAAGTGTGTTTAGTGAAGAAACCACAATCAGAGAACTTCTGAAGGACACCCAGTCGCTCTTCTGGACGTCAACCGAGAACGGCAACGTCAGTCTCAATGACATATACGGGTCCATGAACCAGGATCGGGATACCTCCGCCTCTCGCGCATTGTTCCTATTCCAGCCATTTGACCAGGCCCCTCCCACGGCCAATGTTGTCGAGAAACATATGCGCTGGATGGTAATGGCGCTCAGCAAGGTGCGCATGCCTATCGACTACGCACTGCATCTGGAGGTTTCCAAGACGCCGGTCGGGTATACCTTGAAGTTCAAGTATGACCCGGGGCTTTACAGCGACGATCAGTTTGCCGGTCTCATGGAAGCGTTCTTGGACATTCTGGAGAAGATGATGTCGCATTCTCGAAGTCGGGTGATGACTATTGTTTGATATGTTTCTTTTCGAAAAAGTGTCCGCTGTGGGATTCAATTTTCGTTGATCTTCATGCTTTTTTTTTATTAGAAAGCAATGTACCTTGTAGATAAGGATTCAATCAAACCACAGTGTTAATATGGACTGGATGGACAGAGGGTGGGTATAAGCAGAGAAATCGAAATGGGATTGAGACCACAGAAACTAATCTACCATAGACCTTCATACCAACAACAACAGTAAGAACTTGTTGGAGGTTTGCCATGTTTATCTATTTGTACCAGGTAATAGCAACAATGACAAGGGTGGTCACCAGGGCTCAGAGCCATCTAAGCCCACTAGTTGAAGACCAAGTTTCCATTATCATTCCCAATGCGCTCGGCCAGGTTGATATCCGCATCGTGTTCCTCGCCATCGACATCACGCAAGCGAGCCCTCAGAACAGGGATCTCATCGTCTCCTTCGCGATCGAAACTGACACCCTCTGCACTGGAGAGGAAGTCCCCGCCGTCCCAGTGGAATTGTCCTAAAGAAATGAGTCAAATTAGCTAGCGCCACAACCTGGATACAATGCTGTAGGTGCAGTGCAAGAAGAAGGAGACCAAGGCAGACTGGAAACATACCATTGTTATTCCCGATGTGATCATTGAGATCGATGGTGGACTCCTGTTCATCACCATCCTCGTTGCGAAGAACAGCCTTGAGGATGTGGTCATCCTCGAGCTCGATGTGGGAAGCGGTTACGTGGAAGCTCATAGTGTCGATTTGGGAGAGAAGAATGCAGAGTAAGGTGTAGAGAGTATGGATCATAAACTTGCCGGATGGCAGAAGAGACGAGGGGAAGGGGAACTCTCTTTATATACCCTATCTGGCGAGGCCAATATACCCCGAACCGTGATCTGGGCTTACACAAGGAATCGTGCAGCAGCCCCCTGTTCCTGTCCGACACTTGTCCCGGACTAATTCGTCGCACTGCGTCTCGATTGTGCCATGACAGTGGCACAGATGGGGCATTCATTGGGGGACCGACATTGGCAAAGCGGGGAGACTGTACTCCGTTTAAACATGGATGCCTTCCAAGACAAAGAAACCTAGCGAGTCAGTTGTAGAGGTGTGGAGAGGACAGAACGGGGCTATCCACTACGCCCGTACACGTCAGGGGGTGGATCAGGGCAATGTAAACACCAGAGGCTGTCATCTTGGCCGGATATCCGGCGCAAAGGAGTACAGAGCACATCAGCTTGATGTCTAGTTATCGTGGCGCACGACGACATCTTCCACAGTCCCCAGCCACAGGATTCGGAGCGATATACCTGATGTTGCACTGTGCATGCATGCCAAGGGTGCAAGATTCCGTGACAGCCTAAGAAACAGCCACAGGACGTGGGCCACACATGGCCAATGGGTATCGAACCGAGCCAGGAAAACGCTGGTGCCTAATGGGGACAATGCAGTCGACCTGGATTGATGCTGTGCCAAGTCAGTTGCGGATGCAGCCTCATGTTGTCAGTCCTTGGCGAGTCGGTATTGAGAAGGGGTAATTCACAAAAAGTGGCGTTGGGTGGAGCTGTGGCTGGATAAGGCTAGCCCTGTGACTTTGAGGGGTTTTTGGAGGAATAAGAATCAAGAGATGGAGGAGTGGATCATTGTGAAGGACAACACATCATTGTCTAAAACTTTTGTCTCTGCTTGTGGGAAAGAGGATTTGGGGATAATTAACCTCCAGAGTCACCATGATACATATTCTAAGTGTTTACAATTGAATGATCAGGTCCGCAAGGTCTTTATTGTTCGTTCTATACCTACAAGGTGGAGACAACAAAGTGCAGACAAGCAAAGACAGCATCAAGTATCATAAAGCCGTTGGTCCAGATCTCCTGATGGACAGTGGAGAACCCAGGAAAGTACAGTCTGTATCCGCAGCGGTCATAACCAAGCACCTCCGGTATCCGAAGATTGCCGTTCGGTGTCAAGGGTGTACATGCTTCGTGCCATTCGCAGCCTTAACTGAGCAGCATCAAAGACCTAATCAGTGTCCTCAGGGCAGTCCTTCCTTCACTGGACAACAGGAGACATATGTTGAATATGAACATGGAGCTGAAAGGTCAAAAAATTGAAGAGTACTCAACAGGAACACGACGTGCAATGTGGACCCGGAGTGGTGTGGGGGAGAGAAGGAAGAGAAAGAAAAAGACAGAGAAATTGGGGGAGAGGGGATTTATACCTTCCCAGTGGCTGAAGGCAATGGCAGGTACTTGGGTGGGGGACGACTTTTTGACCAAACACCACGTCTTAGAATGGATTCTTAGAAATATGAGAAAAGAATATGTATGCATTGCTCTCAAAAATATCCTGAAACCCCCAATATTAAACACGCCCAACGCCACTTGCAAACTCCCATACCAGTTCGACGGATGCACAGAATCAACCCATCCCATAGCACACATACCAGGTGTATCAACAGAAACACATTAGAATCATAATAAGTCACAGATTAAACTCCATTGCGGTAGATTTGAGATCCACCAGAACGGATCTGGATGGTGTCACGTCGCTGCAATACCACCAGTGCACGATTAAGTGCTTGCTCAGTATAGTTCTTGCCGTCAACAAAGTCACGGCGCAGAGTGGCCAAGCTTGTGCTCCAACCAATAGGAAGGCGACGCTTCAGCTCGTCTTCGATCTTGCTGCTCTGCTCCATCAGTTCCTTGCTGCCTTGGCCCTCACCTTGGGTAATGGCGTCCATTGTGGATGCCAGGAACAGACGGATGGCCTCGTCCACGTGGGCTTCTGTGGCAACGGGGGAGAGAGAAAGCTTGGCAAGGGACTCGGAAATACGGACAATAGCCTCCAGTTGACGGACGGTGATGGGGATCGATGATCGAGCGTTGGATTCCATCTCGGCACGGTGGACTTGCTTTCGGATGGAAACAAAGTGGGACGACAGTTTTTCCGCGGCTTCGGGCGAGAGACGGGGCGCACAACGACTAGATGGGATGTTAGTATGAACATAGCAGATCAAATCAGTAATGTGTCAACATACCTGCGGCAATAGCTGATGTAGCGCTTCATCTGCTCAACGGGAATCTCGGCCTCCACTTGCTCTTCCACACCACGACCACCCATATGGACACCCATGACGTGGCGAGCAATCTTCTCGTCACGGCCGCGCTCGTGTTCATCGCGGACGACGAAAATCATGTCGAAACGGGACAGGATAGTGGTTTGAAAATCGATGTTCTCGCCGGGAGTCTTGAGATCATCGTAACGACCGAAGATAGGGTTGGCTGCGGCTAAGACGGACGTTCTCGAGTTGAGGATTGTGGTGATGCCGGCCTTGGCGATAGAGATGGTCTGCTGTTCCATGGCTTCATGAATGGCAACTCGGTCCTCGTCACGCATCTTATCAAACTCATCGATACACACAACACCACCATCAGCAAGCACCATAGCACCACCTTCGAGGTAGAACTCGCGAGTGGTCTGGTCTCGTTGCACGGAGGCTGTCAAACCGGCGGCAGAAGAACCTTTTCCAGAGGTGTAGATGGCGATGGGAGCAGCCTTTTCGACGAACTTCAAAAGCTGAGACTTGGCAGTACCAGGATCACCCAGCATAAGGACGTTAATATCACCACGAAGCTTCATTCCATCTGGAAGGATCTTCTTTGAGCCACCCATCAGCAGACACACGATGGCTTTCTTCATATCTGCATTTCCATAGATAGACGGGGCAACGCTGCGAGCGAGTGCGTCGTACAAGTCAGGCCTCCGACTGAGCTCCAAGAATTCTTGTTCTTCCTCCTCAGAGAAGACTGAGTTGCCCTTTGCTGTCTGGTCGAGGTCGGAGGTGATTCCCACTGCGCGGAGATAGGGGTTGCGGATAGCCACGGCAGCCTCCTTCTTGACACCCTTCGCTTGGTAGATAGAGAAGATGCCCATGACAGTGCAACGAGAGCCAGGAACAACTCGGTTGGCAAGGTAGCGATCGGCCGAAATAAGGACGTGTCGCGGCATCTCACCCACCGGCACTTGGTCGGGGGCTTCTTGGAGCTTGAGGACTTGCTGGTCCACAAATTGACATTTCTCGTGGTGAACGACGTAAGGATCCAATGGACATTGCTCGTTGGGTTGATCATTCTCGTTCCTGGGTCGACCGCAGCGACGTGGCAGCGTGAGGCCAGAGAAGCCACCATCGACCTGGATGTTCTCGCTGTGATCGCAACCCTTGCAACGAACGTGGATGATTGTTGATTTGGAAGATATTGTTGAAGCCCCAATCACAATTCCGGGGATGCGAACGAGGTGAGAGATGTTGGTGGCATTGAGATCACGGATTGAGATGTGCGATGCCGAGGAGTGTAGGAGCAGCTGATGGGAGGGTAGTGTGATATCTCGCTGCCCGGGGTAGATAATCCGTGCTGTACATTGCTTCAGCGCCAGCTCGAACTACTTCTGGTTAGCAAGGGCAAAATATCAGCGGGATGAAAAAAAAAACCTACAAGAGGGATGATATCGCCGGGCTCCGTGGTGAGTTTATGAGCCAATTCTTCGTTGTAAGAAATGAGATGGGCAATGTCAATATCACAGTAGTATTGCTTCACAAGGGCATTTTGACGTAATTGATCACTGTTGTATCATAAATTAGCCTCCATTGGACCCTGACGGCGATATGCTGCATACCGGTAGACGAATGCATTATCCAGCTGAAATTCTAGCACGAAATCCCGAAGGCGGTTTTGAATAGTCGTGCGATCTTCATCAGCGCCATTTGTGCTAGGCGCAAGTACGCTCAAGGTGTAGGGGGTGCGTCTATCCATGGTGTAGTGGACCGCAAATGTGGCAGGTTGGGGGGGGGTTTGATTATTTGGCGGAAGGGAGGCTTCAAGAACTTTTGGTTAGTGTGGCACCAACGCGACGCGTCGAGCGTTCACCCGTGGACGCGTTAAGTGGTTTATGAGTCAGCTGCGGCCTGAGGCACAAATCCATTAGTGGAATTTTGACCTAAGGCAGCAGCTTTCTGAGTCAGCACGGGGAACCGCGGGCCCGGCGTTAGCGCATTGGCGGATTGGGGAGCCATGACTAGCTTGATGGAAACAAAGCCACATCACAGCCATTCTGCACCCAGGACCCGAGTGATCTCGGACCAAAGTCGCCAATCGCACAGGCTGACTTGATCAGCTTTAGACCCAATACCTGAGCCTGTCAGAGCTCTCAGTCAGGAGTTTATCCACTGTCATGATCAGATAACACAGAACATCTCAACGATCGACCCGGTGGCTGTCCGATCCGGCTCGTGGCAGCCATGTCGTCAACCAGTCCACGGAAATCGATTGATAGCTTGGCGTCCGGGGTCTCGTCGCCTTCGATCTCTTATTCAACGAGTCAGCTGGAATCTCCGCGTGTGGCCCCTCAGCGGTTCCCCCTGAGGAGGGGATCAACCGCGAGCTCGATCGTGAGCATTGGAGGTGTCTTGGACTCTTCTCACTACCATGGCTCAATCTCAGAGTCCGTCGCGGAGTCTGGGCAGAATGGTTTGTGACCTCGGGGATTCCCAATTTCTCGATGATTGACATGTTAACGTCCATATAGCCATTTCGACTCTCCTCCAGCCCCCAATCATCCGCACTGGTCTGACCGCTGGCACTGCCACATCCTCCGCCGGCTTCAAGCCCCCTACGTCTCGTGATATCCCGCCGGTTACTCTGACAAATATCAAGCATGTGGATGCGAAGGTCTTCCAGCCATATCTGTCGCAAGTTGGCACTTTGTACGATGTGTTTCAACAACCGAAAGAAGGCGCGGGGGAGGATACACTACCGGCGCAGGCTGCCAAATCTCCCAGGCCTGATTCTGATCGCGATTCATTAATGCCATGGTCCCCCGAGCGGAGGTCTTCGGTCATGTCGACCGGTTCAAGATCATCCTCGCCATATGATGCTCGCGGTCGCCGCCCCTCCACTGGCCGTGGTCGCGCCTCCGCGGTAACTCCTCTGTCCACCATCCCTCCCGTTTATTTCGAAGAGGACTTCCATCTGGAAAATCCCCGTACGTTCGATGTCATATCAGAGAAATCAGATGTGGTTCGGCCGCCGAGGCCCCCGACCAAAGACGACAAACACGCCAATGGATTGGTTGCGGAGCCAGTACAAACTGGAAGAAAAGCACTAGCAACTAACGCTATTCTGCAAGAAAAGCTTTCGTGGTACATGGATACTGTGGAGATCCATCTTATTTCGTCAATCTCAACGGCGTCGAAATCCTTCTTCACTGCCCTAGGATCTCTCCGAGAATTGCACGCGGAAGCCGCCGACTCGGTTAATCGGATACAAGTACTGAGAAGGGACCTACAGAAAATCGATAAAGAAATGGCTCTGGGCGGTCTCAAAATTGTCAATTTGAGACGGCGAAGAGAAAATGTACGAATGTTGGCAGCTGCCGTGGCTCAGCTTCGCGATGTGGTCGAATCTGTCTCTCGGTGCGAGGAATTGGTAGAGCAGGGCGACATTGAGGAAGCTGCGGATGGACTTGAGGAAGTCGAAAAGCTGATCGCCGGTGAAAAGCTCTCCGACCATGCGACTTCGGAGGACGAGGAGGGTGCTCCCAGACGCATTATCGACCTGCGAGGCATCAAGGCCCTCGAGGGAGCATCCGACGATCTCGCACAGCTCCGCCAACGGATTGGCATGGGCTATGAGAGCCGGTTCTTGCATGACCTTTTGGGAGATTTACGACAGCATGTCCAAACTGTGCCATCGAATGTGACCCTGCAGCGTTGGGGAAACTCATTCCAACGGCAGCGAGGTGGTCAGCGGTCTGGCCTATCGGTATCGCCTGCCTACATGGATTTCAATAACGAGCTGCGGTCCCAATTGAACACCCAGCTCAACGGACTCGCGCGTGCTCACTATACGATGTCAGCGGCAACTTCTTTCAAAACCGCTGTTTTACGAGAAATGAAGGGACTTATTCGCAAACACCTGCCTAGTTCTAGTGATGATGATAATGAATCTATGGTGTCGCTATCGACACATGGTGGTCATCAGCTAAGCCAGCAGGAGAAGTCATCAATCCTCGCTCGCAATCTCCGTGCTCTCGACTCAGACGATGCTTATGCGATGTTAATGAATGTCTACACCGGAATCAGCGAATCGCTCAGGCGACTCAGCGTCCAAGTCAAAGTCCTTCTGGACATTGCTAGTGGCTTAGGAAATTCTCCCATTTCCGGCGTCAAATCACCACCACGCAGCCCTAACCCGCAAGGTATCGATCAGGCTACAAAATCTCCGCACATCGGGCCAACAGCCTCTGACTTGGCTCAGGATGAGATTCTGCAGGTTTTGGATATGTCAAGTCTGCTTGGTCAGGCAGTTGACATCGCCCAATCCCAGATAACGAAGGTGTTGAAGGTACGATCTGAACAGACCGCCCAGCTTCCCAAGGAGGAATTCCTCAGGTACTTCACTCTCAATCGCCTGTTCGCCGATGAATGTGAGGCCATCTCGGGACGCAGTGGTACTGCTCTGAAGACAATTGTCGGAAATCAAATCCGCGATTTCATTACCCGTTTCGGTGATGGTCAGCGCCATCAAATTGTCAATGTCATGGATGCCGATCGATGGGATGCACGCGATTTCGGAGATGTAGAGAACACCATTCTTACTAGGATTCTCGATGCAAGCACCAAAGACATCGACGCCTGGGTCGAAGTTTCCAAGATCTGGATTGAACGTGATGGAAACGAGCAAGGCAAACTTGCTGATACTGCTGCTGAAAATGGGGCGGACAAGTCCAGGGTTCGCAGTGCCGTCATCGACGAGCAGAAATACATTCTGCCTGATTCTGCAGTTGCCATGATGCGCAGCATTGAGGAGTTCGATTTCCTGATGTCGAATATCCCTAGCATGATACAGGATATTGCGCCACATCTACTAGATATCCTGAAACTGTTCAATTCGCGGTCATCGCAGTTGATTCTTGGAGCCGGTGCTACGCGTAGTGCGGGTCTGAAGACTATCACAACTAAGCATCTCGCGCTGTCATCACAGGCATTGAGCTTCGTTATTGCTCTGGTCCCGTATGTACGGGAATTCGTCCGTCGCCACGGACAGGCAAACCCCTTGATGGCCGAGTTCGACAAAGTCAAGCGACTATGCCAGGAGCATCAGAGCGGTATCCACGAGAAGCTGGTGGATATCATGAGCTCGCGCTCTTCGGTTCACGTGAACGCGATGAAGAAGATCAACTGGGATGCCAAGGGAGCATCCCCTGCTGTGAATCCTTTCATGGAAACTTTGGCCAAGGAGACGGGTATTCTGCACCGTGTCTTGAGCAAGCATCTTCCAGACATGACAGTTAGCATGATCATGGTACCCGTGTTCAACAGCTACCGTGATCAATGGACGAAGGCCTTCCAGGAGGCCGACGTGCAGACGGAGGCTGGAAAGAAGAGGTTAGTCTGAAGTACTTGAACCCCGCTCATGGGCAATACTAATCACAGAAGCAGAATGCAAGCCGACGTTGAGCATTTCCGAACCAAACTGAGCAAAATAGAAGGCGCCAAGGAGGTTGGCGACAAGCTCCTCGAAGTTGTGCAAGCCAAGACCATTGCCAATACCGACGAACCTGAAAAGTCCGAGACGGCGAATGAGAAGCAACAAGATCAGGACGATGACTCTGATTCCGCCAAGTCCTGATTTGCATTCTCATCGCCCGTTTACCTTCATACATATAATCTTGTTTCTGCATGTTCCTTTCTTGCCTGCGCGCTCATTCCCGAGCTGTACACTTCTCGTCATTTGCCGCTACCACATATTTGTCTACCAGTTGCATTTATAGAGCTAGCCCGGCGTTTGTGGATATGAATAAGAGCAATGTGATTTTCATTCTAATATATCTCTAGCATATTACGCATTACGCATTAGACAGTCACAGAACTTGAGATTGCCTCCAGTTCGTGTATCTTACTTCACCCGTCCTGCCAACCCGAGAACCAACATTGGAATTCATGACTCGAGGATATCGTGTATCATTCATAATATATGTACTTCAAAAGCCACCAAAGACCATAATAATCATACAGGATCATCACCATCCGCGCAAATCATGTAACATTCGTAGCAGACTGATATCAATGTTTGCCAGCAGTGTTCTTCTCATCGAGGGTAATAGGTTTCGCAGTACCACCCTGAAGGTGAGGCTCACCCTCGGTAGGCAAGCCAGGGTGAACCTTGCGGCCGGAGCCAGTCTCCTCTGGCATTGGGTGGATCTTGTGGGGATGGGTCATGTCTGCGGGCTGTGTGATGCATCAGGAATTGTCCAGGTCGAAGTCCATTGACATTGGGATTAGATTAACATACCTCGTCGCCGACTCCGTGGGCCTTGCTGGGACCGTTCCCGATAGGGTTATCGCTCTGGGGAATACCGTTGTCGTATTGTGCGCCGCGGACCATTTTGATTGATTTGGAGCCGAGGAGATTGAGAAGATTTGAGTGTGGTGTTGTGTAGAATTGGCTTTTCGTGTGGGAATAGAAAGAAGAGTGTTAGATGGTTCTACTTATACTTGGTTTTTGGTTGATGTCGGGAGTTGTGACAGCATTCTGAAATCATAGTGGGGAGTATGACTTCATGGCCATAGTATCAAGATCTTTGCTCGATTGCCTTGGAACTGGCTCTAGAAATTCAAATGGCAGAGATCAATTCTAGAGAATAATCTGTAAATGCTTCAATTAGGCAATTAATGTTGTGGGTAGGAAAATGTTTCGAGTTGTACGTTGCATGGAATATAGCACTGGACGGAAGTCTATCCATTGTCTACATTGTATGCTTCAGTTTTACATAGTGAAATGCACCAATATCTATAATATTCTTTAGTCCCAAGTACCCTATATATTTCTATTATATCAAGACGATACTAGAATAGCTTGCCGAGTGGGAATATAGCGGAACGAGATAGATTCACTATGCTCAGGTTACAACAACATCATTTGATCGTTACGAGTTGTTATTCCAGCAGTATACTAAGCCCACAATATCCCTAATAGTCGTCTACGGCATCAACCCTACTCCATGGTTGAATGGTCGAATAGTCGATGACATTGGTGAAAACCTTGGTATGTTCAACAGAGCGACCACTTTATGCCTCTCTTTGCGATATCCGTTGTTTGATTTGAGTTCATATGTGACAATGACAGTGCGACAAAGGTGCAAAATTGAAAATTTCTAGCACTTCCATGACTTAGATAGTTGATATATTCGGTAGCCAGCGCTACCTATATGTGTTTATTTAATATCTGATGACGTCAGTTCCTTTACCATTCCAAGGTTGTCTGGCAGCAACATCCAAGGAGGATAAGTGAATGGGTACGACTAATATGATGACAAGCTGATTACTTTTTCATGATTTATGATATCCCTTGGTAAAATTTCAACCCTAACTCCAACATGAGTCTGACAAAACATTGAGACACAGCCATGAGACATAAATGAATACTAACTTGGGGGAACATGGGAGCGTCACAAAAGAAAGCTGGTATTCGCGATTGACTCTCACTGAATGTCGGCACCGACTTGTCCATCAACGGTATCGGCGGGTTTGCGCAGTCGATCCAGCAATTAGACAAATTTCGAAGCCAGATGAACCTGCACTCTCATCGACGCGATCAGATTCAATAGACAAAGGCAGGTCCTCTGTAGAGGTAGCATAGAACCCCATTGAACCTACATGGCCAGCCCAAGGCGAGTCAAGTGCAGTATCTGAGAAGGAGAGAGAGACACGATTTCGATTCAATACCCTAGGGCCAATCAACACTGGCGGAGAGACGATCCCAGATCTGCGGGTCGAGCAATGCCTGCACTGCGGACCAGCCACGAGAGAAGTTGGGAACCCGTCAACGTCAGGTGGGAGGCGGGTTAGTTCTCGGGGGCTAAGTGGATATGGCAGCGGGGGATTTCCAAATTGCAGGCTGTTGTCACAACGATGATAGGGATGACTGTGGAGGGCGCGGTGTCGTCCTACTAGGCAGCCACCGCACATTGATGTTGGTCGGTCAGGGTACTGTGGGAGACCACCCGTTGTTGGGCTATGTGAAGAACGGGGAGTAGATGAGGTAGTGGCTTGGTGGGAGGTGGGCGTCGAAGAAGGTAGGGGAGGTAATGGGCCGTGTAGGATTTTGCGGCGGAGACTGTATGGTGGGTGTTGCACTGGTGCTGTCACATCATGGGATGTCCCTACGGGAATGGGCGACAGGGCATCATTCTGCGTGTTGGCCGGGGTGGCATTGCACTTTTTTCGAATGATGAGCGGCCGGGGTTGTAAGGGAGCAAATGGCGAGATATACCGGTACCGGTTGTTCACAATGGCATCTCGCTTTCTCTGTATCTGGCGGATAAGGAATTCTGTGGTGGTCATCCGGGGCTGGGCCTTGTTGATGGATGATCGAGACATATCCGACGAAGGAGTCGGTTGACTCACTGGTTCAATACTCTGTGAGGAGTCTGCACATGAGCAGATACCGTTGTCGAAAAGAACTGGTGGGCTGCAGTCTCGAAGAGCTGAGGTGATGAGGCAGCATAATGGTGGATCGGGTTGATGTGTGTAATACAAATCTGGAAGTTGAGGAGCCAGCTCTTCAACCGCCATCCCAGTATCGGACTCGGCCAAAACAGAACCTGACTTCCCAGATTCCTTTTCTTCACCACTTAACTCAGCAGGTAAGTCTGGGGTCATTGCCCCAAGTGCAGAGAGTTCGTACACATTCCTATCGACTTCAAATACAGAAATGGGGCCTAATTCATCAGACTTCTCATCCTCACTACTCGAATTAGACATGTCCGGATTCATGATTTTAAGCACACAATGGTCATCTCCTCGCCAACTTCCACGGGGATCATGCGGATAATCAGTCTCGAGCGGGAACCTCTTTCTTGGGCTCGATGCCTGGAGATCATTGCGGTCCCGAAAGAATCGACACGGATATCGATCAGTGAGAGCCCCGGAAACGATCCTTTTGAGATCCCAGTCCGGGATGCTTCGACGCTTCCGCTCGACCTTGTTGATCAACTTGATCCTCACGTTGCCCAGCGGAGTGAAGACCCAACTCCTCAGCCAACGCTTGATTTTGGCCCGCTTGCGTGCCTTCTTCCTTTCAGACATGCCTAATGCGACGGGTAATCGAAGTCCAGAACTCTGGATGATCAGAGGAGACAGATGCTGGAGGACGGGAGACTGCAGAGGATCTCTTTCTTCAGGTCCCATCTCGCTCAGCTTTTATATATTTCTGGATTGGTATACTGGTACCTCCGAGATCAACATCAATGAGCCTTTCAGGTGATGCATTTCGAACAAGTAACACAACATTGTCTACATGTATTAGGACTGGACTCCATCTCACTTACAATGAGGATGGGAACAAACACAGATTTGAGACTTTTGATGTTCTTTGTTGATGATTTTGACAACGATGGGCCCTTTGTTTACCAAGTGGCCCGGGTGTCTCATACTTTGATGAGTCAACTGCTGTGGTACTATCCATGGATCTACCCGTGGACCCATGTAGGTAGCTAGTAGCTAACAGTACAGGGTAAAAGAGAACTTGTTTCATCATCCTGGAGTCCTTTTGCTGAGCGGACATTTTCGATATAGGTATAGTACTGCGCATGTGGCTTGAGTTAGGTCAGACATTGCAGGGTATCGGAGATATTTCTGCCCAGGAAGAGGATTAGGTAGAGACAAGAAACACAGCGTTGTACAAAGGAGGTAGTTTGCATCTGCAATGTTGTACGGTATAGGCATATTTCAACACCAATAAGGAAATTGGATTGCCAAGACGATCATCCTCTCCAACATGGTCCGCGCGTCCTTTGTGCCAATAGACGGAAGAGGTTGAAGCCATTTCAAGCCATTCATACCCATGTCTATGGCCATTCGTGAGAAGATCAGAGCTCTGGCGGGTCCTTTCCGACGTTCAGTGGAGAAGATTGTCAGATGACATCATGGCTCCAGCTTTCCCCAGATCAGACGATAAAAACCGCAATTGGATTGGCCCTGAACTTTGTTGACTGGGATTGGAGGCAAATAAAGATCAGGTGGTCAATAATTGGAGAAACAGGAGAAACTCAATGAGAGAATATCTTCGGTCAGGGGAGAAAAGGGGGGGGGGGGGAGAGCAGAGTACGTGGGGCGATCCCACTTCGTTACTTGTTCCTGCTACTACTACTGTTACATACCAGGTACAGAGTACCATCGACATTTGAAGATAATTATGGAGTAGATTAAAATATGAAATCTCTTCAAATATAATATGGTCTGTACTTTTCTCAACAGTCTCGGGTGGAATTTCCCTGACTTTTGAGCCTAAGCGGTAGAAAAAGCCTTGGTCACACCTAGTCCGGAGAAAAACTCTTGACCGGAACGAGAAACGGGAATTCCTGTATTCTTTTCCTCTTGAAATACCTCTTGGACCTCAATTTCATCTCCAATTCGATCCAATCCCCTTCCTACTCCTCCAGCCACTCCAGAAGCTCCAAGTCGAAGGTCCACTTCTCCCCCGCACAGACCGGGACAGCTCTTCCAAGGTTGTTGTGCTCAACCCCTCCCTCCCATTTCATTTCTCTTTCGCTTTTGATTTCTGTGTGATTTTTTCGTATCTCTGAGCACAATGGAGGAAAACGGCGAACCCATCAAGCGTGATGTGCGCAACCACATGCTCTTCGAGGTGGCCACTGAAGTGGCCAACCGAGTAGGTGGCATCTACTCGGTCCTCAAGTCCAAAGCTCCTGTGACCACCGCGGAATATGGTGAGCGGTACACTCTGATCGGTCCGCTCAACAGGGCTTCAGCTGCGGTGGAGGTTGAGGAGCTATCGCCGTCCAACCCAGCCATGCGGGAGACGATCCAATCTATGAAGGAGCGCGGCATTGACATTGTCTACGGTCGCTGGCTCATTGAGGGTGCCCCTCGGGTTCTGCTCATTGACACAGGGACTGGATATCGGTGGTTGGACGAGTGGAAGGGCGACCTTTGGACTACTTCGGCCATCCCGTCCCCCGCTGGAGATAATGAGACTAACGAGGCCATCGTTTTTGGATACTTGGTCGCTTGGTTCTTGGGAGAGGTACGTTCCAACAATTGTTCTTCACGTTGCGGATGGCAAAAGAGCTCGACTAACCAATATCCCTGCTATAGTACATTGCTCACGACCGTCGCCGGGCGGTCATCGCCCATTTCCATGAATGGCTGGCTGGTGTCGCTCTGCCACTGACCAAGAAGCGGCATATGGACCTCACAACCGTCTTCACCACCCACGCGACATTATTGGGTCGTTACCTCTGTGCTGGCTCGGTTGACTTCTATAATAACCTCCAGTACTTTGACGTGGATGCAGAGGCCGGGAAGCGAGGAATCTACCACCGCTACTGTATTGAGCGGGCAGCTGCTCATTCCTGTGATGTCTTTACCACTGTATCCCACATCACTGCATTTGAGAGCGAGCACCTGCTGAAGCGTAAACCCGATGGGGTGCTGCCTAATGGTCTGAATGTCAAGAAGTTCTCTGCCATGCACGAGTTCCAGAACTTGCACTCCCAGGCCAAGGAGAAGATCAACGATTTCGTTCGTGGCCATTTCTACGGCCACAACGACTTTGACCTGGATAATACTCTATATCTCTTCACCGCGGGTCGTTACGAATACCGCAATAAGGGTGTCGATATGTTTATTGAAGGGCTGGCCCGCCTCAATCATCGACTGAAGTCTGCTGGGTCGACCATGACCGTCGTCGCTTTCATTATTATGCCAGCACAGACCTCTTCGTTGACAGTGGAATCTCTCAAGGGACAGGCCGTTGTCAAGTCTCTGCGTGACACCATCGAGAACATCGAGAAGGGGATCGGCAAGCGCATGTATGAGCGCTGCCTTTCCTGGAAGGAAGGCGACAACATGCCTGATGAGAAGGATCTCATAACTAGTCAAGATCGCGTGATGCTCCGCCGTCGCCTGTTCGGCATGAAGCGCCATGGCCTTCCCCCAATTGTCACCCACAACATGCACAATGACCACGAGGACCCCATCCTGAATCAGTTGCGTCGTGTCCAGCTGTTCAACCACTCCTCCGACCGGGTGAAGGTTGTCTTCCACCCGGAATTCCTCAACTCCGCTAACCCTGTATTGCCGCTTGACTACGATGACTTCGTTCGCGGAACCCATCTGGGTGTCTTCCCCTCCTATTATGAGCCATGGGGATATACACCAGCCGAATGTACCGTGATGGGTGTGCCTAGCATCACCACCAACCTGTCTGGATTCGGTTGCTATATGGAGGAATTGATTGAAAACTCCTCCGATTACGGAATTTACATCGTGGATCGTCGCGCCAAGGGCGTTGACGATTCGGTCAACCAACTGACCGACTTTATGTTCAACTTCACAGAGAAGAGTCGTCGCCAGCGCATTAACCAGCGCAACCGTACTGAGCGCCTGAGCGATCTGCTTGACTGGAAAAGAATGGGCTTGGAATATGTCAAGGCTCGCCAGCTGGCATTGAGAAGAGGTATGTTACAATTCGATTGTTTATTTTTATTTTTTTTTCTAGATATTATGTATGATTAATTATTTGCACAGCTTACCCATCCTCCTTCGAAGGCCAAGAGGACTACTTCGATATCATTGGGGGAACGGAGCAGAAGCTCTCCCGCCCGCTTTCCGTCCCTGGATCCCCTCGGGATCGCTCTGGGATGATGACACCCGGTGACTTCGCCTCTCTGCAGGAAGGCCACGAGGGATTGAGCACAGAGGATTATATTGCCTGGAAATTGCCGTGAGTTCTATCATATCGTTCGTATTTGTCAAATACTAAGCTATTCTACAGTGAAGAGGAAGAACCCGAAGAGCATTTCCCCCTCACACTGCGAACTCGGAAGATGACAGAACGGGTTGTATCCCCACTGGACAGTATATCGATCAATGGCCGTGAACAGTCCGAACCAGGAGCTCGGACGGAGTAGCTGAGGATATTGGAATCCTCTCATCTTCGCAATTGGCCCTAAGTCCTTGGAGTGGGCACTCTCCCCATTGACGTCATGTGTACTTGTTTAATCCTGCTTTCTATGATCTTTGTCCTAGCAGTGCATCTGAAGCCTATGTTTTTGTTTTTAATTAAGAATGAAATCGAAAGTTATACTTTGCAATATCGTTTAACGTTGTACGACATAACACCTCGGAGGGATGAGCTCCGACTCTATCCACTCGAACGTTTCTCGGAGAGAATATAGAGTTACGGACTGGAGCCATCATAGCGGATTATCCTCGCCCCGGTGAGTATTTAGCGAAAGTATGATTCATCCGTACTTCTGCTATTTCTACCCCTCCTGCCCCTCCATCTTTTCCCCTCTCACAATCCTTCTTACATACAACTCCAATCCAACTCGGGACTCACGTCTACCATCGGTACGACTCTCCAATGGAGCCGCGCACGTCCAGGACCCTGCGGGGTCGCAGGACACAGTCCTCGCTACGATGAAGAGATGGATCAAGGTATTTGTTCGTATAACAGTCGTTGCCTCGCATGACAGGTGTTCGGTCCAGCCAGTTGATTGGGGAGCACTATAAACCTATCTCCAGCTCTCCTGGAGTCTCTTATAGGTTTCTTTTTCCCATATCTACTGGCTGGCTGTTCTGAGATTATACTGTCAAAACTTGATCTAGACAATACTAGCGAAAGGACATGCGTGACTTTGATTGTTCCCCTGTTTTGTGTTTTGTGTCTGGCTCTGCTCGCACTGTGCTAGCTTACATTCAATTGAATACATAGATTGAATGGAGACTGCAGAGGTAGAGCAGAGCTGGATGCTTTCTCTCTTGGCATGCTGACCCAATTGAAGTATTTCAATAGCTTGATCTTTCTGCCATCATGTCTACCGACAAGATTACTTTTTTGACCAACTGGTATGCTGACATTGTCCCAGAATCCGAGCTTCCTGGGTGCCCAGCGGCGCTGCCGTGCTTGATCTTGTAGTTCGATTTGGCTGATCTTTCTCAAAAGGCACGCGACCCCGTACCACGCCCCCCTCTACCTCGCCCAGTCCAGAGGCTACTTCAAGGATGAAGGTCTCAAGGTGGCTCTCCTCGAGCCTAACGACCCCTCCGATGTCACCGAGATCGTCGGAAGCGGCAAGGTCGACATGGGCTTCAAGGCCATGATCCACACCCTGGCGGTGCGTAACCATTCCTCAGACACAACAGGCACATCAACCATACTAATACCACATCCAGGCCAAGGCACGCGACTTCCCCGTGACCTCCATCGGCTCCCTCCTCGACGAGCCCTTCACCGGAGTCGTGTACCTGAAGTCTAGCGGTATCACCGAGGACTTCCGCTCGCTGAAAGGCAAGCGAATCGGGTACGTCGGCGAGTTTGGCAAGGTATGAATTCCATCCTCACCCGTTCAAATCCACTAAGCGAGCCCTGACCAATTAATACTAGATCCAAATCGACGAACTCACCAAGTACTACGGCATGACCGCCGACGACTACACAGCCGTCCGATGCGGAATGAACATCACAAAGGCGATTATCCAAGGCAACATTGACGCGGGCATTGGTCTCGAGAACGTGCAAATGGTCGAGCTGGAAGAGTGGCTCGCCGGACAGAACCGACCCCGCGACGACGTGCAGATGCTCCGAATCGACCAGCTCGCCGAGCTGGGCTGCTGCTGCTTCTGCTCGATCCTGTACATCGCGAACGACGCTTTCATCGCCGCGAACAAGGAGAAAGTGTCTGCATTCATGCGTGCCGTCAAGCGCGCCACTGACGACGTCCTCGCCGACCCCGCTGCGGCGTATGCCGAGTACATTGACGTCAAGCCTATCATGGGCACTGATGTTAACCGCAAGATCTTTGAGCGCTCGTTTGCTTACTTCTCGCGTGATTTGAAGAATGTTCAGCGTGACTGGAACAAGGTTACCAACTATGGAAAGAGACTGGGCATTTTGAAGGAGGACTTCGTCGCCAACTACACCAACGAGTTCCTTTCTTGGGGTCTTGATGCTGACTCTACTGATCCCATTGGTGATCAGAAGCGCATGGCTGCCCTGCAGCAGGAGGTTGCTGCTGATGGTGGTTTCAAACGTCTTGAGGTTAAGGCTTCGGCTTAGTTGGGCTTTGGCTTTTACTGCTGGATCACACTACTTGGAGATGTTAGTTCTAGGCTTCACTCTTTAGCCTCACTTGATTGAGTCAAATTGGAACAATTGCCATCTTGCTATACCTGTGCTGTAGACGATCTGGTGAAAATCTAGTCATTCTGTGGACGTGGAGTATACCAACCTAGTATACCAACCTACGAAGAATAGTTGGCAGCTTATGCAGCCATTTCCTTGACGACGACGTAGGAAAAGTCTACAGCATGACAAATTCCAGTCTAATCCGTTGCAAAGAAAAATCATATTGATAGAAAAGGAATGCGATGATAGCTGATGGATATTGCAAGCATGGTTTGTTTCCAAGGTCGTTACAAGGTCGTGAACATCAAAGTCATTGTCATGTCTCATAGCAGGGCACCTTGTTACAGGCTCCAGTGGTCATCAGGACACAGTTCAGGGCGCACCCTCATTCCCTGAACGATCAAGCATGGCTCGTAGCCGATCCTCCGCGGACTGCAAAGCAGGGCTATATTCTGGCCCAGCGATAGTGGCAGTCCACTTCAGCCAGCCAAGGAGAGATTGTATGATTTCCGGACCCGAGCTTCCTATAGCGGGCGGACCATCGCCGCTCGAAGCTGGTAGTGGGATAATATTGGATTCTGCGGAGGACCCGTCATTTGCAATCGCCTCTAGATGAACCTCTGACACTACAGCGGGAGTGGCCATCTGAGATGACTGCTGTTCGCCACTGCCAGCAGTAGCATTTTTTCCGAGTAGATCACGTCCGCTATGCTTTGGTCTTGATGCGAATTCGCGTATGAAGGGGCTCGAGGGTGCGGTATCCGGGGCAATAGCCAAAACAGTTTCGGCTTCAGAGTCCATGCCTGGAGGTACTGGAGGAGGTTGTCCCTGAGTTGCTTGACCCGGCGTAGGATTTCGTTCCTGCATAGACGCAGTCTGTCGCAGATTTTCTAGATACCGATGAAACGAGAATGGATGCATATGAGCTGGATCAATCGGACTGGCCTCGTCGTCAACAATGACCGCATTGCTGTCATCCGCACACCGTTCCTCATTAGGCCCAGCCTCCTCGACAGGTCCCAGCGCAGCCGACGGAGCACAAATCTCACCTAAAGGCGCGATGTGACTCCCATACTCATTGGAAAGACTCAGCTTGCTCCGCCCACAGATCTCAGCAATCGAGTCTAAAGTGCTACGGATATCGGGCTCGATGGCTTGCAGTATACTCTCGATGCTGAAGTGCTTATCGGTCGGGAACATGACATCTGATTGAGAGGGACGAGGTGGAGCCGAGCTTCTCGAGCTGGAGAACGAGAGGAACCGACGCGCGGACATAGCAGGCGGTGGTGTAGATCTATCCTGCGCATCGCCCGAATACGCCCTGACAAGCACCGGGCGCGTCGGGGGTGTCGACGAGCGCCGGGAGGGATTATCAACTGGGACAGGATGGGATGCAGGCCTCCGGGAACCGTTCAGCTGGCGCAGAGCCGTGGCACGATATGCGGTCGGGTCTTCGGCAACGGAGTCGTACCGCTGGTTTGTCTGGTGTGAGGGGCCGGCAGCAGGCGTGACTGGAGACGCGTTGGATGGGGATGGTAGTCGGGACCATCCTTGTCGAGGTAGGCAAGAGGACGGCCGAGTACCGGGCAAGGTAGCTGATTCCATATTCGTGTCGTTGCGGTAGCGGACAGCTACGTGTAATGCAGGAGACAGCGCAGACACTGACCCCGCTCTGGGAGGGACTCTGGGAGGGTTAGCTTTGGCTCACGAGGGGTGTATCCACGTCGCATGCGTGATGCATATTCTCCGCATGTGTTCGGGGTTTTTGTGGTGTAATAATGCACGAAGTACGGACCTGTGAATTGCTTTTTCAAGTTAGTTTTGCCTTTTTCGGTTTAGCCCTTCAATACGCCGTCACATCCCTTCAGGTGAGGTCAATGCCCTTCTGATATAAAAGACCCGTCTTCCTCCCTTTCTTCACTTTTCCATTCTTACCTCACTATCTTCATTTGCTACACCCCTGCAATTTTGCCCAATCGGACTCGCGGACTGCCCCATCCGCCCTCTGTTACTTTTCGGCTGCACACTACGGCTGATCCCTTGTCATACCTCCGCTGTCACTGGAATAGAAATGAGTTTGCCCCCTACTATAGTATTGATTATTCTTCCTCAGTACCATTCGTTCCACAAGTGCCTGAATTGCTCCCTGTCCGTTTCCTTTGACCTGACCTTTATTGTGTCAAAATGACAATGCTGGAGAAGAGGCAGAATTCATCTCTAGATACGTGAAGTTCAAGCAGCCACCTCTTTGCATAGACGACACCCTCGTCCATAGTCGAGCTTGCAGTCGTAACTACTCAAGTGAGCCAATCCAAATTGACACCCTCTGATGCCGCCATAAGGGGTTCAGCACCACGCCCCTCCCTCTTCAACATGAGCTCGGCCCATTCCGTAATCAATCCAATCAAGCGCTCAACCTGCTCAAACGTGTTATCTGCCCGGAAGATAACTCGCGTTCTGCCCTGTCCCTTTGGAAGAACTGGATAGTCGATAGGCCAGACGCAGTAGCCAGCAAAATGGCAATGAGCGGAGAGGAGATGGTTCTCAAGGCTGCGGTGATTAATGGGAACAATGTGTGTGAGGGACTGTCGCTGTTCCCAGTCTCTGGTCAGTGGGATAGAGAGAATCCCGGCTGCTTCTGCACGGATGTAAGTTGGTCGGGTGGGCAAGAATGTTCTTGAAGTATCTCACGAGGGCTTGGATACAGTTTTGCCACTGTGGACGGGCACGTTAGTACCAGGATTTGTCTTGCTTTTTAGCAGCTTTGGGAGGAGTGGTAGTTACTGTTAGAGCCAAGCTAGATTTGAGAAGGGAGCCTCCTTTAATGGCCGCCAAAGCTGGGAACGAGGGGCGTCAAAAAGATCAGACAGCGAGCGAGGAGCACGTCTTTGACCGTCTGGTTACATAGAACAACCAATATCTATTTTAGCCAAAGGCGCTGAAGAGAAATCAAAAAATGCCGAAGCTCGCTCACCTCCATGAGATCCCAGTGCCTTGCTAAAGGGATGCAGCCGGATAGCAAAGCTCTCCTCCAATTTCAATGAAGAGCTACAGAAACTTCAATCGATTCTCGGTATTGATGTTGCTGGCCCGTTCGCATCGTGCTCGATAACGAATGACTTCCAGCTCTGGACTACCATCAGTTGCTTGACTACTAGATTGATGATCAACGAGGCATTTCCAGGTAGCCAATATAGCGACTTGATCCTCTCCACTGCGCAAAATGCGATCCTAATATCCATAGGAAAGCACACAGGCGAGAATCTAGAGAATCAGCCACTTCTGCCCCTGTATCTATAAGCCTGCGCGTTTGTCTTATTCTGTAGCTAACTAGGCTACTAGCGATGTCGAGTTGCTAAAGAGCTTCCACCAGTTCCTAAAAATTCAATATGATATGTCCCCCATGTCACTCTTGTCACTAGACTCGAGGCTCTTGTGAGTTCTATTATAGAAGTTGTGGGTGTGGGTGTGGTTAGACTGCTCCCGGATAGCTGCCCGAGCACAGATCTTACTCCTGGTATATTGGTGTATCCGTTTCCTGCTCTAGAAGGCCCTGCCATCTACTGCAACTTAGGACATAGTGATGCATCTGTCGATTTTACCTTCCTAGATATAGACCGGCTGCTTTGATTGGTTACCGTCGATGCCATGAAGTGGGTGACTCTGCACTCATGCCAATGAGGGTTGATTTGTATATATTTTAGGCCCTCTGACCTCTCACAACATATCTTCCTGAATTTCTTATGGCAGTTACTTTCTCTCACTGCATCTTCTTATGGTTTTCGAACTCACTGGCTACGGAGTGTAGATCGAACCAGCCAGAGCGCATTAGAAAGCAAAGTAGACTGGATTTGAATAGATGCAGATTCTAAATTAATAATAGACCATCTGAAAGCTTTTGACGTCACCCCCTCCTATCTCGGAGAACATACATGGTTGTGATTTCACGTTTGTTTCTCGCTAACCTTGTCCACGGGTCCTCGTCCGGCGAAAATTGATGTCGACGCCCAGGAAGCAGGCCAGGCGAATGACTGCTGGCTCAGATCCTCACCGGAGACCAGGTGATCTACAACAGCGATAAAGATGTAGGCCCCTATTCCAGTACAGATATGCCACCTATTCCAATGAGTTTAGTGCGTAAGTATCACAGGGCAAGAATTCTGAAACGCACCACCCGTGAAGCTCTAATATAAAAGCATAGGGAAGGCCTATTGCTTCTCGCGCCTTTGTCAAGAATCCGCACGCCCACTGATCAACCAGCCAGAGCCAATACCCAAGGTTGAAAATCGCTATTGGGAATTAGTCGCTTAAGATATCGTAGGATTAGATTACCGACCTGCTCCGAACCTAACCATTCCCCAAATCTTTCGCCGGGTAGCTGAGCCCGGCAGCGTCCGGTCATTAACGAGCCGTATAGTGTGAACCCCAATAACGGTCACCGTACCGACAAATGAGACCGAGTGGAGGACCAGCTCATCGGTTATCATATGGAATGTTACTAGAAACAGTAATATAGAGCCTAGTACTATACCTATAACGATAGAGTCTCGGCGATTAGAATTGGCTGTCAAGACACGATGTAGGACCGGGGTTGTAGCAAAATGCATCGAGAGATCGTCCACTAATAGAAGGAATAATGAGCCTGGTAGGTAACCTTAGTAGCTTAGCTAATATAGGAAAGACGCGGCACGTACTCATTTGGGTGTGGTATTTAAGGCTGAGATGGAATGCAAACGAGCACAAACCAACCGCTATTAAGCCCCAGTAGGGAAGGACACGTAAAGAATCAACATATTTGTCTTTCCGTCGTAGCTGACGCAACCCGTGGATGCCGTAGAGTACTAATGAAGATAAATTCGAAGGTAAGATTATACCTTAGAATTTCACATTCTCTCCAGTATCTTACTATAGACGACATTTGTCAAGCTATTGACAAACTCGGCGATGTACCTGCTCACGGTGTAGTCCGTCTCGCAGAAGCTTTGTCGAGGTCAGCGAGTGAAATGAAGGAACGGGCAAGATGGATACTGACTTGGCTTTCGAGGTTGGGGCGCCCCAGAAAGAACCTGTAAAGTCGATAGTGCTCATTCTGTATGTTGTAGTCGACTGGGGTGTGGGAGGGTAGTGGAAAGATAAAACCCGCGTTTATGCACAGATGGCGTGTTTACGGAGTGGAGGCGGTCAAGGAGGCTTACTTTCAAGGCTACAATATGTAGGAAATTAGAAACAAAGGGCGCTGGTTACTAGTACAGATCCGTATCAAAGGGCGGCTTCCGCGCCCGATGTACTCGGCAAGTCAGCGACTGCAAGAAAGTCGGGTCTAGCCCGAGGACTCGGAATAGAGCGCAAGTAACCATACCGTCATCCTTAAGAGGTAAGCTAAAATAATTTCTTGCCAGAGACGGGGGTGCGAGGGTATTGGCAAAATGGGACGGACCTGCCCAGGTGAGATCTATGTTGTAGGTAAAATGCACGGACCTTCTATGTGGAGAAGGCGTTATTGTTTAGCCAATAGAATGCTATTCAATTAATTAAGCCTCCGTTTCTAGATAGCGATGTTTAACACTTTTTCTGTGGCCTTGGATTTAAAAATCAAAACGGTTGAATTTTGATTGCTGTCTCGGCCTCCAGTAGTCCACTAGCCGTTGAAGTTTTACTAACTAAGCAAACGAAACCGACTATAGTAGACGCCCTGTGCTGGTCAATGATCCGTGGAGACTAGTGATATTCCGGGCCCGGGCCGGGGCCACCGCGCGTTCCCGATCGGGGCAGTGTATTCGCATTTGAAATAGTCGTGGTGGGGACCTCGGGATGCACCGCCAAGTTGACAAGGTTAAAGCGCCACTAGAATGTGCGACACGTTGCACGTCCCCTCTTTGTATCAGTTTGCCGGACCACTCGGAAACAGATTATCCCCAGCCGATTCTCCTGCTCTTCTTCTTCCTGCGACTCTGCTGCTGTTCGGAGGTCTAGTTAACTAAAGATGTCCGGGGAACAGTGGGTCTCTGGAATTAGAGCTTTAATAGTGGCGGTCCCGGCTCCCTAAAAAGTACGGAGTATACTGTTTAAGTGGTAGATTCTCGCGGACAAGTTCTGTGATCGAATTGAGAATCACTGGCCATAAAGATCGTTGGACCCACGTGAGTGGGCGGCGGTGAGGCCATTAACGCAGCGCTGTTGACACCTGAGATAAAATTAAGTCCACTTAACAGATCCAGTACATACATTTCCCTCATAGCCATTTCAATCTTCATCAAAATCCGCATAAAGCCATGGATCCTGTAGTAATTCCTTTGCAGTACTTCGCTCTTCTGGGTGCCATTTTATCATCCTTTGTACGAACTCGATGAACATCCTCTTATCCTCATTGTGTATGTTGCATATTGAATCTTGAAAGTTGAAGTCCGATGGTGCAATAATCCTGCCTCTGAATGGTCCTATTGAATCGAGTCAATACTTGCTGGAGCAGGCAAGACAATATATACTTACTGTCAGATCTGTAAAAACGATCAGTTCTTGTTCCCTTGTCTAGAAGTTCCTTTGGAGGAGGGCCTAACAATGCAGAGATATGGCCAAGGTGGTTAAGCTCATCATATTCTTGAACTTGGAGGGGATCGACCTCTTCGAATAGCTTTCTTGCCTTCAAGAACATCCCATAACTACCAGAAGGACGTTAGCTTTGGTATGGTAATGATATAGTGCTAGACTTACCATGACACCTAAGCTCCAGATATCGGCACTGTACGAATAGCCTGCATCCAGAATAACCTCCGGGGCTCGGTATATTTCCGCCTGGATGCACCCACTGTTTGGCCTATCCCCGCGGACAGATAAATCGAAGTCAGTGATTTGGATTATGCCCGTGATCTTTTCGGAGATGCCGAAGTCATTCCGAGAGAGACATATTGTGCAGCCATCTGAGCTACTCCTCTGCGGTAGAGGATGTTCGTATTCATCTCTGGCAGAGTTCTCCAAGATAGACGGATCCTCAACTTTGATCATTATATTTTCTGGTTTCAAATCTGGGACCAATTAGTTCTAACATCTTGTGTTACTTAACCCGAATTAAAAGACGAATCGGTATGAATAACATGACACTCAGAGTGGAGGTAGTCAAGTCCATGAAGCATCATTTGAAGCAATATTTTCAGCACATCTGAAGGTATCACATAACCGATGAACCTTTGGCGGTATATCCAGAGGGGTTCTCGCAAAGGTTCAAAGACAAAACTGAGATGTCTCGCCAACCCATCCTTTAAAGTGAATGAATCGAGAGGACGTCTGACGAATCCCCAACCCTTGTGCAGGGGATTTGCTTCAGAGAGGTGTTTTAGGATGTCTAGTTCAGCTTGAGTGGCGTTCTTTCGAGAATGATGAGCAGTTGAATTTATCTTGAGAGCAACGTATTTCTCTCTCAACCAGCGCCATCTGTACCAAGCATTAGCAGATGTGCTCGAGATGTGGAGTACGTGGAGAAAAAACTGGTTTATATCCCGAGCGAGCCAGATAGTTGAGTTACTACCATAACCGAGTTTCGTCGCCAGTTGATACCGGTGATTAAGAACGTCCCCTAGTCGTGCGGGATAAAATCGCGCAGGATCATAGTACGGCGTACATTCCTCCTCGATGGCTTCGTTTACCGGAAGTTTGGGAATGACCACCCTTGACAGTGGCCAAGGGCGGTGTTTAAGTGCCCGGACCGGGGACATTCGAGGTTGGAAAGCTGCCATAGGTAAGACCCCATCAAATGTGGAGCGTAAGCAATGCCAGGACTAGATCATAGTGTGAGCATGAAAAAAAGGAAAGGGAGACCTCGGGAGGTGATTCTTTTCCGTCGTTCTGTTCCTTATGCAATAACCGGAGATCCAAAAGCCACAACCAAGCTGTCAATGTAGTTTAAGTACCTTCATACGCTATAGAAATCATTAGTCCCCAGAGCCCTGGGGATCTCGTGCAGACCAAAAGAGGAGGCAAAAGAATGGCTCCGCCGCGATTTGAACGCGGGACCCCCCCATTAGCACCATACTGATACGAGTGGGATGCCATAACCACTAGGCCACGAAGCCGATGCCGTATCGAGCTCCTCGATTTGCTCTTTCTTGGTAATTTCCAACCTACATGGAGGCATATGCCCACATTTCCCCCAGTGCTGCCTTACACGTTGCCCGCGTTTTGCCTGGACACACCATGAATCGGTTCCAAGTATGCATCCATATCATCCACATTGGTACACCGTCTAACCTCCTATAGTTTAGCGACTCCGATGGGTCTGTTTCCGACTTCGACGAAGACCCATCCGGCCTCCCCTTCCCGGAACCGCTATCCCGCACGTCATTCCTCGCCCCTGACTTCGACCCAGCGAGTTTCCTATCGTCATTGACAAACCGACATCAGAGCCTCGAGGATCTCCGACAGGAATTGCGGGGTCTAGAGCAATCCTTGAACAAGGAGCTGTTGGATCTTGTCAATGAGAACTACCAGGACTTTCTCTCGTTAGGCAGCTCACTTCGCGGGGGAGAGGAGAAAGTCGAAGGTGTGAAGGTCGGGGTACTTTCTTTCCAGCGCGATGTCAAAGCTATCCGGGACAAGGTCGAGGCGCGACGTCAGGAAGTGGAAGAGCTGTTGAATGAGAAGCGGCGGTTACGAGCGAACGCCGACATTGGCAAAGATCTGTTGGACTATGCGGATCGGGTGGAGGAATTGGAACACCGGTTGATGATAGAGGACAAGTCGTCGCAAAAAGCCGCCACACCCGATGAATCCGATACAGAGTCCGATTTGTACACCGGCGAGGGCGAGGACAGTGATGACGATGAGTTGTCGGATGGCACCCCCGCGATTTCATTGAAGAGGATGGAACGCCATGCTCAGAAGTTCGTCTACTTGACCTCGATAGCTGCCCGGGTCGGCGAAAAGCATCCCTTCCTGCTTGCACAGCAACCACGAGTCGCAAAGATCAAGTCCACAGTGCTCCTGGACCTCAAAACTGCCTTGGAGCAGGCCACCACGGCTGGTGGCAAACAGGGCAAAAGCGACGCTAGGACAATGGCAGTTCTGCGCCTCTACGATCTTATGGGTGAGGATGTCAGTGCCGTTGCCGCGCTGAAGAACCTCAAGCTGTAAAAACGACGTGCTTCGTCCTGAAAATTGGCGATGTGCACTGATTTGCATACATAGCGTCGGCGTTTGGTCTTATAAAGTTCTAATTCAACAATGATACCATGATACACCATGTCCTTTCCTACTAAAACAATAAATTTGTACACGCCAAAGGATATAAGAAAATTGAGTATGTTACATGCCGGTCAAGGCGGAGGTTGGTGGGGAGGCATCGGAGCGGAACTCGCCATTGAGTGAGAACCCAGGTCCGTTCGTTGAGCTCAGTACCTGATGGTGTTGTTAGACGCTGGTTTCCATAAAAGGATCAGTTAAAGTACTCACCACCTCGTAGATCTCCTTGTTGACACGGTCGGTCAGCGCGGAGGCGTCCTTCTTAATCTGGTCAAGGGTCACGCGCATGTTGTCGCGCAATTGCTCCGGAGAGAAGCCCAATTGCCCGACAGGAAGACGGATAACGGCGTCACGCTCACGGTAGACAGTACCACCACGGAGGTCCTGCACTCGCGAAGCCACGTCTTCCACAACGGTACCGGTCTTCGCACTGGGCATCAAACCACGAGGACCGAGAATACGACCCAGGGCGGCCTTGTTCAGCGCCGGCAAACTGTCGGGGTGGGCGAGACAGCGATCGAACTCAATAGTGCCTGCCTTGACAGCGTCGAAGACTTCTTGTTCACCAACAAGGACGGCACCGGCGGCAAGTGCTTCCTTGGCTGCTTTTGAACCAGGAGGACAGATGACACAGATGCGGGATTCGGTCTGGACGGCGTGCGGGAATCGGAGCATGTTACGGATGACGGGGCCGTCACGCTTGGTCCGCAGTCGGATGTGCAGTTCGTATTTTCGAACAGTGGGCTCGCGACCAACTTCGATGGCCCGGATATATCTGCAGAAAGGAAGGTGTCAATTGGTGACCTGGCTATTGACTGACGTCTCAGTGTCAGATGCTCAGTACGTACCGCATAGCATCACACAAAGAATACTGCGGCATATCCTTCAAACTTTTTTGCCGGAACTCCTGGGGTCCTTTGCGGCTCTTGGTAGGCTGCTCTTTCCCCTTCTTTGGTTTGTTCTTGAGGCCTCGGACCTGCTGGAAAGTTGACAGAACGGGGGCGATTGAGGCATTCCGCAGCGGATTCCGGCATGATGAGAGAATTCCGCGTGCCGCAGTGGGCAGTACCGAGCCGGAGGACGACATGTTGGCAGGCATCGATTTGAGCTGATCGGCTGGATGAAGCAATTGTTTTCTGCCGAAAGCTGTCGGGCTCGGAGAAACGTGGCTCCGGACGGGGACTGTAGATGATGACTCTGCCCCTCCAAGAATCCCCATTTCTTCCCACACTTCTGCGCAATGTCCGAATATGAACTGAAAGTGGCCACTCGTGGTAACCACGCGGCGCTCCTGCCCGTGGTTCTCATCGTCACCTCTATCAACGAGGCCCGCCCCACCCCCGTTGTCAAGATCACCTACGAGGACACTGCTCTCCTCCAGGATGGCGACAAGGCAATTGTGCAGCTAACCAGTGGCTCTAACTCTGTCTTTGGTGCTACCAATGTTATCCAGGAGCTTACTACTCACTTCCCTTACCTGGTTGGCAAGGATCCCAAAGTGGTCAGTTACTACCCCGCCGTCCAGACTTTTTTTTGGAAACGTCCCTAACAGTATTCTTTGTATAGGAGACGGAATGGATCTCTCAGTTGGAGTCCCTGACCACCCTGGACTTTAAGGCCCTTGATCCCGTGCTCCAGCGCCTTGATGCTCACCTCCTTATGCGCTCGTTTATCGTCGGATACTCGCTGTCTACGCCCGACATCGCCATTTGGGGTGCTATCCGTGGCAACCGTGTCGCCGTTGCGGCCCTGAAGAAGGGATCCCTTGTGAACCTTACCCGTTGGTACCGGTTCTTGGAAGAGCTTTGCCCCTGGGCTACCGCTGCTGTGGAATGTATGAACGCAGTTGCTAAGGAGAAGAAGGTGGCCAAGTCTAAGGAGGGTGCCAGTTACGACATTGCACTCAAGAACACCGAGAACGGTGTCGTTACCCGATTCCCTCCCGAGCCTTCGTGAGTTGTGAGCCGTATGGTTTTGTCTGTTCTTGAGGCTAATATGGTTCGTTCTTAGTGGATACCTCCACATTGGTCACGCCAAGGCCGCTCTTCTCAATGACTACTTTGCGCATGAAAAGTATAATGGTACTTTGCTTCTCAGATTTGACGATACCAACCCTTCGAACGAGAAGCAAGAGTTCGAGGATGCCATCGTGGAGGACCTTGCGCTTATGGGCATCAAGCCTAACAAGATGACGTACACCAGTGATTACTTCGACGAGTTGTACGAGCACTGTGTCAAGATCATCAAACAAGGCGATGCCTATGCGGATGACACCGAAAAGGAAACTATGGCCGCCCAGCGGTGGGACGGTTTGCCTAGCCAGCGTCGCGACCTTTCCCCCGAGGAGAGCTTGTCGCATCTAGAGGAGATGAAGAAGGGCACCCCCGAGGGTCTTCGTTGGTGTATCCGTGCTAAGATCTCCTTCGACTGCCCTAATAAGGCTATGCGTGATCCAGTCATCTATCGCTGCAACCCAGCAACACACCACCGCACCGGCGATAAGTGGAAGATCTACCCCACTTACGACTTTGCCTGCCCTATTGTTGACTCGATGGAGGGTGTCACCCACGCTCTGCGTACTATCGAGTACCGCGACCGTAACCCCCAGTACCAATGGATGCTGGATACTATGAAGATGCGCAACGTGCAGGTGTGGGATTTCGCGCGCATGAACTTCGTCCGCACCCTGCTCTCCAAGCGTAAGCTGACCAAGCTAGTCGAGACTGGTCTCGTCTGGGGCTGGGATGATCCTCGCTTTCCCACCATCCGTGGTATCCGTCGCCGCGGTATGACTATCCCTGCTCTCCGGGAATTCATCCTCAAGCAGGGCCCCTCTAAGGCTGTGACCAACTTCGACTGGGGTCTTATCTGGGCCACCAACAAGAAGTACATTGATCCCATTGCCCCGCGCCACACTACCATCTTCAACAAGAACGTTGTTAAGACCACTGTCACCGGTGGCCCTGCTGCCCCTTACGCCGAGGAAAAGCCTAGACACGTCAAGAACGCCGCCGTGGGCATGAAGAAGGTTGTCTACAGCAGTTCCATCATCCTCGAGCAGGAGGATGTCAAACTGTTTAAGCCTGACGAGGAGATCACCCTTATGAACTGGGGTAACGCCATCGTGCGCAAGGTCACCACTAATGAGAACGGTATCATCACCGATCTTGAGCTCGAGCTGCACATGGCCGGCGATGTCAAGAAGACCGAGAAGAAGGTTACTTGGCTTGCCACCGAGGGACAGAACCTTGTTCCCGTCGAATTGGTCGATTTCGATCACCTACTGACCAAGGACTCTCTCCAGGAGGATGACGTCCTGGAGGACTACCTCAACAAGCACACCGAGTTCCGCGAGGTGGGTATGGCTGACTGCAACGTCGCGGATCTCAAAGAGAGCGACATAATCCAGTTCGACCGCAAGGGTTACTACCGCCTTGACCGTGCTTACGCTCCTGGTAAACCTGCGGTATTCTTCAACATTCCTTCCGGCAAGTCCAAATAGATCATGTGTTAGTTGTGATGTGAAAAATGTTTTATGAGTGATCTATAAATGAAGAATGAAGGTTGTGCATATGCTTCCACTTCGCGTTCAGTAAAATCAATATGTACCTAGGAAGGAGATCCGCATGCTAAGCAGAGTCATGGGGTTTGGGAATAGCCTCATTCTGATGGAATCATCATCCGATCGATGAGGACCTAACGGGAAGTGATGGAAGAACCGAGTATGCGTCACTTACCGGGCAGGCTGGTTGAGAAGGTGAGGAGAGAAGAGGAAGAGAAGATCCGGGTATATAGTCTCTTGCCTTCATACCAACTTGGTTGATTGCTCCTCCAG